TCACGGGGAGCGGGGGGGGCGAGAAGAGAGGCGGAGCCTTGTCCACCGTGGGGTGCCCCTGGGCATGTACAGAGCGCCCCGCCTCTCCCTCCCTCTTGTCTCTTTGCTATCCGGAGACCGTGGACTACAAAGCCCATTTCACGCCCAGCCAGCATCTTCCTGTGGCGCCTCAGGGTGGAGAGAGAGTGCCTCTGAGCCTGAGCAGAGTGCCTAGGCTTCTGTCCAGCTGTGAGCATCGCCAGGCTATTCTCCCCCCCCCCTTATTTGTTTTTTTCTTCTTTTGGCCTTTTGCGGGCAAAATCTGGTCCTCCAGATGTCGGTAGACTACAGTTCCCATCAGCCCCCGCCAGGACAGCTAGTGGTGAGGAATGCTGGGCGTTGTAGTCCGGCAACATCTCCATGGCCGCCGTTTGCTCAGCCCTGGTAGAAAAGATAAGATTTTGTTTGTTTGGCGGTCGCCAGGTTTGTATCTTTCTTCGGGAAGCCCAGGCTTCTGGGCACATACAGAGTGCTCCTTCTTCCTCCATCTGCCTCCCATTTTCCTTACCACTGCCCTGTGAAGTAGGCCAGCTGGGGAGAATGAGGGGCCCCAGGCGCCTACTGAACTTCATGGCTGGTGCGAATGGGATCCTGAAATGAATTGCTCTATTCGGTATGAATCTGAGAGAAAGACTTAATTTTTTTAAACTTCAGCCTTTGGCTTGGGTGTGATGTGGAGAGTTCCCTGAAGCATGTCTAAAGTACCTTTCTCAGGGGTGCGCAAGGGAGAAAGAGGTCTCTGGGCATGTGCAGAAGGCATCTGTGGTCTGCCTTGCCTCTGCCTGCAGAAGGCAGGAGGAGAATGCTTGCTTTCCCCACCCCATCTGTGTGGGAAAGGGCAACGGTTTCTTGGTGATGGATGGTGATGGATGGTGCAACATGGGATATGTTGTGTTGGTGCTGGTGCAAATTCCGCATGCCCTTAGTGAGTAAAAGCGGGTGGAGGATGAAGCTGTCGGCGCCTGGCTACTAATCACGAGTGCTCAACGCTGGCAGGGTCCAAAGTAGCCATGCTGGAGGGAGTTCACCCCCTAAGCATTGATTCCGCATTGATTTCAAAGTGTTAACGCTTACTTACAAAGCCCTAAACGGTTTAGGACCTCGATACTTGGCGGAACGCCTTCTCCCATCTAGATCTACCCCTTTGGCTTGGGTGTGATGTGGAGAGTTCCCTGAAGCATGTCTAAAGTACCTTTCTCAGGGGTGCGCAAGGGAGAAAGAGGTCTCTGGGCATGTGCAGAAGGCATCTGTGGTCTGCCTTGCCTCTGCCTGCAGAAGGCAGGAGGAGAATGCTTGCTTTCCCCACCCCATCTGTGTGGGAAAGGGCAACGGTTTCTTGGTGATGGATGGTGATGGATGGTGCAACATGGGATATGTTGTGTTGGTGCTGGTGCAAATTCCGCATGCCCTTAGTGAGTAAAAGGGTGGAGGATGAAGCTGTCGGCGCTTGGCTACTAATAACGAGCGCTCAGTGCTGGCAGGGTCCAAAGCACCCGTGCTGAAGGTTCATCCCCTAAGCATTGAGTTGAAAGGGACACTGAAGGTCATCTAGTCCAGCCCCCTTCAGGGCAGGGAATCCATGACTATAGCATCCATTGTAGGTGGGCATCCAATCTCTTTAAAAGTCTCCAGTCCATTGCCTTCTGAGATGGCCTTTTCCTGCCCTGAAATATGAATTTTGTGCTCCTGTTCATGGCTTTGTGTTGGAACTGGAGAGGGTTTGATTGGCAGGGTTGGGGAGGGGTGTAGAGTGATGGGAGCAGCTGGATTAGATTCAGAGGAAAGAGGAGAGAAAATTGGTGGGAGAGACATGAGTAATGGAAGAGGATACCCTGTTATGGGTAGAAGGCAATCAGGACTTGAAACTGAGGAAGGGGAAGATTGAAGAAGAAAACACGAAAGCAGGAATACAGTTGAACTCTAAGTAGATGAAAATCACGACTGCAAGTAGAATTGAATACCTTCAGTTTTGACAAAGAAAAAAAACATCAAAGTAGATAAAAGATTTTCTGTACCTTGATTTGATCATAAATCCAGAGGAAACGGCAGCCAGGAACTCAGATGTCGACTGAGGTTCAGAAGGGCAGCTGTGAAGGTATTAGGCAAAATCCTTAAGAGTAAGGATGTATTGCTGGAGACCAAGAGTGAACCATCCCTTCTGTGCTATTCCTTATCCCTGTGGACAGATGTGAGGGCTGGGCCGTGAAGAAAACTGAGAAGAAGAAGAATTGGTTCATTCAAAATATGGTGTGAGCGCACAGCTTTGATGGACCACAGAGACCGTCGTGAAAGACAAACGAGGGAGAGCTAGATCAAATCATGCCTGAACTTTCACTAGAAGGGAAAAAAAAGGACAACATGGAGGCTGTTGTACTTTTGAGCCCATTAGGAAGGAAAAAGACTCCCTGGAAAGAGAATATGCTGCTCGCCCAAGTGGAAGTCAGTAGGGAAAGAGGACCATCCAACACGAGACAGATGAGCTCCCTAAAGGAAGCCACTGCCTTGAGTCTGCGAGACTTCGGGCCCACAGCTCCCTTTGGATGTCATTCACTCCTAGGGTCACGATCAGTGGGAAGCCGCCTTGCTGCCACCCCAATGGGTGGGTCATTCGTAGGGGGCTGGAAATTGAATAATGACCTGCCGTGATGCTGTCTGGGTGCCCTTCTAAGGGACAAGGTCGGGAGGCAGCGGACGCACAGCATTTCCTGGAAGGCCTTTGGAAGATGAGAAGGCGGACTTGAATAGATGCTGGGTGGCAGGGGGCACAGGGGGCCCCCCCCCCCCCGTTGACCTTGGTGGAGGAAATAGGGCTGGCCGCACGAGAGCGGAGCCACAAAATCCACTGTCCCTGTGGACGGCCTCAGCCTGCGTGGTCTGCACCCGTCAGGATCCACGGAGCACCCCGTCCTGGAGATAGGTGGGTCTCAGGATCCACGGAGCACCCCGTCCTGGAGGTCGGTGGGTCCCAACCTCGGATAACCCGGGTGTTCTTGGACTGCAATGCCCAGAAGCCTTCCCCACCAGCTGTGCGGGCTGGGGTTCCTCGGAGTTGGCAATTCCAAGAACATTTGGAGTTACCCAAGGATGAGAACCACTGTGTGTAGAAGAACGTGGGCTTTTGGACTTGCAGACAGGCAGAACCTAAACCGAGGACCAGCAGAAAAGGGAGGATTAAGACCCAAGCTTTGGGAGGAGCATCTGTCAATATCAGAACCACCACCAACTACACATTCTGTTGGTTGGATGCCTTTTTTTTTTTTTAATCCACAAGGGATCTGTTCCAAGTCCTGAGGGAGGATTAAGACCCAAGCTTTGGGAGGGGCATCTGTCAATATCAGAACCACCACCAATTATACATTCTGTTGGTTTAATGCCTTTTTAAAAAATCCACAAGGGATCCGTTCCAAGCCCTGCCGCGGATGCTGAAAAATGTGGATTGTAGCAAATACTATTTTAATGGCAAATTCTATATATATCGCACGGTCTCTGGCTCACTCTGAATGCTTTGGATTCAGAACAGTCTCTTTAAAATGCACAACCCTGGAGCATTTTTTTCAACAAATTGCAGAACAATTAAACACCATCAGAAAAGAGAGATGTTGCGGAAGGCAAGGCTCGAAAGAACTGGGTGAGTTCACGCAGAAGATGCCAAGTTAAGTTTATTTCCATCCTAAGTATTGCGGAACCGTCGTGTTCAGTGTTATTTGCCATCAAAATTGCGACAGATCCGTATAACTTGCAGAATGGAGAGTCCGTCCCCATATTGGTGGTGGAAGCCGGGGGGGTGGTGGTCAAGGAAACCGGCCTGCAGGGGTTTAAGACAATGGGCGAGGGAATAGTTGAGGGTGGTACAGGCGATGCCCTGGATTTTTGGACTTTGGGGCAGAGCTGTATAGGGAGAAGGCAGCGGGACAGCCATGGGGAAACGGAGGGGGTTGACCGCCGCCCTGGAAGGTCCGGTTAGGAGCTGGCAGGGGTGCACCGAGAAGGTATTATGTTTTTTCTTTTTATTTATAGTCTGCCTTTCTACCCATAAGGAGGCTCACAATATTAAAAAAAGAATAGAAATAAAAATATAAGAAGTTAAACAGTAAAAGGAACAAACTTTGATTAAATTGCAATCAAATCATTCAGAACAAGTGCATGTTATAAAGTGAATGTTGTTGCTCTGTGTGTATGATTGGGGAAGCCAGCTCCATCACAAGGGAAGACGGCCTTTGTGGGAATGATAAATACCCAGGGAGGGGCAGGAAGGGTTTGTTCTCGGGATTGTCACACACCTTTATCAGGAGAGAATCCTCTGCCCCCGAAAGGCGGAGGTGGAGGGTGTTCTCTGGCTTCCCAGATCAGGCCTCCTCCGTTTTCCCTTGGTGCACCAAGTTTCTGATCCTCCATCCTTTGGGGAACGGTCGGATTCAAGATCCCATCAGCCCCTGTCAGCTTGAGAAGGGATGATGGTAGAAGGCGTCACCCCCTGCAGCATCTATTAGCTGTAGGGCTTAGAGAATGCCAGACGCCCGCCCGGCTTTGAGTCTCAGCTTGTTGCAGAAAGACTGGGTTTACCTGGCGCCGGTCAGGATCTCTGAGCCCGACCCATTTCACAAGCTCGTTGTGAGAATAAAGTGGGTTGAGTGAGGACCGCGTCTGCTACCTTGAGGACAGGATATACCGTATTTTTCCGTTTTTAAGACTATACTTTTGTCTAAAATCTTTAGACCTAAGAATTGAGGGTCGTATTATACATGGAAGTAAGCTGAGGAGAGAACAAAAACAAGTGGAGGGGAAAGCAGGGATCAAAGCGATCCTGCAGTGCTTTGATCCCTTTCCCCCTACATTTGCTAAACCCCACTTAGATTTCTTAATTTTGGATTAGAAAAGTGGGGGTCGCCTTATACATGTGGGCGTCCTGTACACGGAAAAATACGGTAATCATATTAGAAAAGTGGGGGGCATCTTATACATGTGGGCACGGAAAAATACGGTAATCACCCACAATCCTTCATCTCACCCCATCTGACAGAGTCCTTTTAAGGAGAAAGGAGGGGTAAAAATATTTTAAATAAATACCTCTTTGGAAATCCCTTTCCATCCATAGAATCGGTTCTGGGATTACAGTTCCCATGGTCTCTCTCCTCCCTCCTTATACCAGCCAAGATGGTTGGCATTAAAATATTGAGGGCACCCGCTTAGGGGAGGCAGGTGTGCCCACACCCCTGTACGGAAATACGGTTGTGAGCGTGTGTCCGGACACCCATCTTTGCCCATCCTGACCTAATAAGAGGGGAGGCACCTTTTGAGATAACCCGTGGATAACAAGGGTGCTCAGTCCACAACATTCCTGATTTGTATGGCACCTGCTGAAAGCTTGTTCTTCTGCCTTGGAAAGCTGGCAGCTGGTTGAGCCATGCTGGGAGGGAAAAGGCAGCATCGACCGCCTCACGTTGTGTGGAAGCCAGCCCTCTGTCTTTAGTTGCCCGGCACCACCGGCAGGCACAGCATGAGCGCTTTGCGAAAGAGAGGCTCCCTGGCTGGTCCCAAGGCCCATCGCTTTCTCCTTCCCTTCTTTTCCGGGTGAGGGAAGCCGGTCGGACGCTTCCGCCCACAGGGGGTGGCGGCAACCCAGAGCAGGCTTTCCACGTGGAGCTGGCATGGGACCAGCCAGCTTTGCTCGCAGAGTTTCAGATGGAAGCTTTGCCCTCTCTCCGCTGATCTCAGCCCTCACGGGGACCATCCCTGTTTTGAAGGTGTTCCTTGAAGACACACCTGTTCTCACGTGGCTTCCGGGTGGAGTTCCCCTTTCCTTAAGAGATCATCTTGATAACTGCATGCAAACTTTTATCTACTGCTGCCTATTGTGGATTTTATGCTCACTGGGCACCGGCTTCGAAGCCATTTCGCGGAAGGGGTTGGATGAGCAAAGAAATGCATGGAGGCCGTACGTGTTTTGAAGCAAGGCCGCCCACACGGAAGTGGGAAACGGGGATCCATTTCTTGGACTCAAACAATCCTGGTTCGAATCCTGACTCAGCCATGAAACTTACTGGGTGACCTTGGGCTATTCATTTTGCCTTGCCTACCTCGCAGGGGCATTGTGTGAGTTAAGCAGGCAAGTGGAGGAGACCGAAGTATGTATGAATTTCCTAGAAAATCCCACCGGAAGGCTCCATGTCCCTGGAACCACCAAACCTTGTTAACTATAAAAGTAACTCAGATGTGACAGGGAATGAAGTTCCCTTTCCTTCCATGACAAGGGCAATGTAACTGAGTTACTGACCTGGCCAGAAAAGAGAGGAGCGGCCGTTGCTTATTTCATTTGTAACTCTGCTGTTCTTGTCCCTTTCGGGGTAGGAGACGCACCGACTGTACAAGCAGAAGCTTGAGGAACTGACCAAGTTGCAAGACGGCATCTCCAGCTGCATCTCGAGGCAGAAGAAGCAACTGAAGGAACTCTCTCTGGCCCTAAAGAAGTATATGAGAAACCGCCACGGCGTGGGGCGTGCCATGGGGTGGGGATCTGTGGGGAGATCTATGCTGGCATGCTCCCACGCTGGGTTGATGTTGGGTGTCAGCCACGAAGCGCTGACGATTCCTCATCCCCATGGAAGCCTCCGTTCTGCTAGCTGGACTGGAGCTCCCATCGGCCCCTTAGCCAGGGTAGCCTTCGGGGGAAGGACGATGGGAATTGTAGTGGCAGGAAGACCTGGAAGGGCCCCGCATCCCTCCGCCACCCCCTCCTGATTTTAAGGAAGTTTTTCCTGCTCTGTAGGTGGGACGCTTCGGTTTGAGGACCGCGGGACGGTTGCCACCCGCCCGCTCCTTTCTGTCTGATGCTGCGGTGGGGTGTTCATCCTCGGTTATTTGCCGCCATTATATTGTTTTTTTCCCCTCCTCCTCGCAACGTTTCCTTCTCTCCCACCCGCCAGATGCAAGACCTCGCTCACAGACCGAGAGGAGGCCGAGCAGAGAGGAGAGACCATCCAGGAGCTGGAGGGTCTGATCAAAGACCGCCAGAACGTCTTCTTTGAAATGGAGGCCTACTTGCCCAAGAAGAACGGGTGAGGGTCCCTCGGGCTCCGAAGCCCCCGGCCGGGTGGTGGGGAGAGAAAAGAATGGATCCACTCCGTGGAAGGGGCCCTTGCAGGTGCACAAAGGTTGGGGGGCTCGCCAAGCTGAGTGAGACGCACCCAGGCAAGGCAGAGACACCCTTTCCTGGCTTTTTTTGTCCTGCTCTTTTGGTGATCAGTCACACTGCCCTTAACTATGGAGGCTCTATGGCCCAGTTGAAGACTGCTGATCGCCCCAGGTGGGAAGATACTTGGTCCAGCCAACCCACCGTAGATTTCTGCACCCGCGGCTTTCCTTGGTTGCCGTTCAAGAGGAACATGCATGTAACGTTGTGGTCCTTCTGTCAACCCGCATATCATCTTCTGAGCTGTGGCCGAGGAGAGCTAGAAATGCCACCCGAAACGGGCCACGCTATTGCCACTGGCGAGGCTGACCAGCAGCCCAGGAACTCGGGACTCCCGTGGAGAGTAGGAAACCGCCCCCCCTCCCGAGGTGCCAGGTGTGGCCTTGAACAGGTGCGTGATCTTTCCCTCCTTTCTGCCACGATCCAGGTTGTACCTGAGCCTCGTGCTGGGGAACGTGAATGTCACTCTGCTCAGCAAACAAGCCAAGTAAGTGCTCCGTTCCTTGTCGTCGGTTTCCCTGCTCACGTGTGTCGTCCTCGGTGAGGACTAGTATGTTTTTATGCGCGGTTTCGGTTTCTTCACAAGTTATACCAACTGGGCCAGTCCTGAAGATGTCTGGGTCCCAAGACACTGAGAGAGGAAGCTAGAACCGAGGCTGGCGTGGGGGTGTCAAAGCCTAGCTCTCATGTGTCTTGATTTCTCCCCCCTCCTCCAGGTTTGCCTACAAAGATGAATATGAGAAGTTCAAGCTCTACCTCACCATCATCCTGCTGATCATCTCCTTTACCTGCCGGTTCCTGCTAAATTCCAGGTCAGTCTTCCACTCGGGAGCGACTCTTTTATAGGGAGATGTTACCTTGAACCTTGAAGCACAAGGACACAATCCATGAGGTGTGGAAGTCTACTAGACACACCCTTGTTAACTATAAAAGTAACTCAGATGTGACAGGGAATGTCACAGAGAGTATTTAGCACATCCTGTTATGCTCTTAATGGGACACTTGAGGGTGTTGTGAATCGCCGCCTCCAACACCGTGTAGATGGTGGGTCAAGGAAGACACAGATCCGTGTGTCGCTCTAATGATGATTCTCAAGTGTGAAATACAAGAGAACTGCTTACCGTCGATTTATCTGACTATGGATGGCCACCCCACGGTTCTACAACCAGAAATTGGGTCTTCTCGGTGGTGGCCACCATGTTGTGGAACTTCCTTCCAGTGGCAATGTGTCAGGCTCCTACCCTCATCAGCTAGTAGGAAACCGTACAGTGGTGCCTCGCATAGCGAGGTTAATCCGTTCTGGATTAACCTTCGCTATAGCGAAACATCGCTGAACGGGACAGGGAAAGCAATTGGAACGCATTAAACATCGTTTAATGCGTTCCAAAAGGCTCCTTTACTTACTGTTCAGCGAAGTTTCCTATGGCCGGCAGCCATTTTCGCGCCCTCGTTAAGCGAGGGGAGGGCGCGAAAACACTGCGCGCGGCTATTTTGGGGCTCCCGGCGGCCATTTTGTCCGCTGAACAGCTGATCGTCGGGGCTTTGTTTTGCGAAGATCGGTAAGTGAAACGCTTACCGATCTTCGCAAAGCGAGTTTCGCCCTATCTAAAGCTCGTTGAGCGATCGCATTAGCGATCCCAATCGCTATGCAATTTCGTCGTTGTACAGTGCACTCGTTAAGCGAGGCACCACTGTACTTTTTTTTACTTAGGCTTTCTACAGTCTTGTTCCTATTTAATGTTACTTCTTTTAATTACTGTTGCTATGGTGTTTATGGGTGAATTGACATTGATTTTGCCACCCTCTATCATGTCGGCTTAGGTCTTTAGATATAGTGAGGGTTCCTTTTTCTGTTCACTGTTTTAACTTACGCTTCTTACTACATTTTATATTATGTTGATGTTTTTGGTCGTGAGCCCCCTAAAGTAGGGTCCTAGCCCCTAGATCGTCAAGGTAGACATTTTTAAAATAAATAAATACACACACACACACACACACACACATATGCATATATACAGTATGATCTACAGGATCATTATCAATGTTTTCACTTATCCATGGATTGAAAATATTAAAAACACAGTGGTGCCTCGCTTAACAGGCGCCCCGTTTAACGACGAATCCGCATAGCAATGAATTTTTTGCGATTGCTTTTGTGATCGCATTGCGATGGTTTAGATAGGAAAAAATCGCTTTGCGATGATTGGTACCGTTTCGCATACCAATCATCGCATAGCAATGATTTTCCAACAGCTGATCGGCGGTTGCAAAATGGCCGCTGGGTAAAAAAATATGGCTGCCCGCTGTGTTTTCGCCCGGATGCCTCGCTTACCGGGCAGCGAAAATGGCCGCCTTATGGAGGATTTTCGCTTAAAGGTGAGTTTTGAGCCCATAGGAACGCATTGAAGGGGTTTCAATGCATCCCTATGGGCTTTTTAAAACCGCATATCGACGAAATCGCTTTGCAGCAATTTTTGCTGCACGGATTATCGTCGCTATGCGGGGCACCACTGTATTAAAAGAAAAAACTAGAAATACATATTTTCATGATCTATTTACCAGAACTAGCCACTAGAGGAAACCAGAGACCATGAAATATATTATTGTTGACAAATACATAGCATGGTTTCCAGCTCTCTCTAGTGGCCAATTCTGGTAATACATGGTGAAAATACATATTTCTGGGGTTTTTCTTTTACCATGTTATGTACTATAGCAATCACTATTATCTGCAGTTTTCATCATCACCAATGCCCCATGGATACGGGGGTCCAACTATAAATAAAGTCAGCCATAACACATAGCAGAGTGAGCAGCAATAGCATAGCAGTCAAGCCCACAAGGATTCTGCCCAGCTGTCTAACTCGTAATGGAGTGTCTTGTCATGGAGTAGCCGTTCGTACCCGACCAAGGAGAGATGGACTGACAGCACCCAGAATTGTTAGCCCACAGGCTGGCCCCATCTGATGCCTCTCGCTGTTTCACTGCCTCGCAACAGGGTGACCGATGCCGTCTTCAATTTCCTCCTGGTCTGGTATTACTGCACTCTGACCATCCGGGAGAGCATCCTGATCAACAACGGCTCCAAGTGAGTAACCCTCCTGTGCCCAGAGCCACCACTGCTTCCCTTTAAGAGCCCCCCCCCCGGGCCAGCTGTAGGCTGTTGTGGGCTGCCAGGGTGGCCATCAGCTTTGAGCGGTTCTCGGTCTCCCCCAGCCCTACATCTCGAAAGCCTTCTTATGAGAGATCCTGGGATCTCCCCCTCCCCTTTGCAGGCTTGGGTTCTGGTGAGATGTCGGAGTTTTGCCCTTAGGCAGAACAGTGGGGAGGAGGCCTCAGGCAGCAAAAACCAGGTGGCTCCCACCCACCAGAGGCAATTCGCCCTGCGACTCTCTGTTGCAGTGGGAGAGGATGTCTCAGTGAGACTTTACTCTCTTGGCACCTTTGGTGGGTGTGGAAAGTGGGAAGCTCCGTCTTGTCCTCTTTCTAGCAACGGAAGGCATTGTGCTGGTCCCTATCCATCTACAGGGGGAAACACTTCCTTTTTAGACCATGCTTTCCAGAATGCCAGAGCCACCATGGCTGCCAGCAGTTATACAACAGACACACACACACATTTTGAGAGAGAGAGAGAGAGAGAAAGCAAGCAGTTATACAACACACACACACACATTTCCTCCCAGCCGGCTTTGGGCTGCAGCTTATGGTCCAACTGGCCACAAGACTATCACGGTGGCTCTGCCATAACCCAGCTCTCGCTGGCTGATCCTCTCCTTTTCCTAAGGGAAAACCTTTGAGCAGGGCTAAGGTACACCAGGTGCCCGGCGTTCTTCTGCCATCACGCAGGGAAGAAGTAAAACATGGGCTCCCAAAGTATGTTGAGCCTTGCGGTATGAGAGACACTCATTTGTGAAAAAGACTCTCCCTCCATCTTGTGCCGGTTCCTTTTTTCCCCCTCCAGGATTAAAGGCTGGTGGGTTTTCCATCATTACATCTCCACCTTCCTCTCAGGAGTCATGCTGACCTGGTGAGTTTCCGCCTGTAGCCTCTTGTGCCTGTCGGAGGTGGCTCTGTGGGGGGTGGAAGGGTGCATGAACACAGCCACCGGTGGCCGTTCTTGATGATTCTCCTACAGTAAATCTCTCTCTCTTTCTTTCCCTCTGTTGTTTCCGATCCCTTTTTTTGCAGGCCAGACGGGCTGATGTACCACATGTTTCGGAACCAGTTCCTCACCTTCTCCATGTACCAGAGTAAGCAGACCAGCTCGGAGTGGAAGCGTTGGGGGCGGGGGTGGCAAAGGATCAGCAAACCCTCCATCCTCCCGGAGTGCAGGACACGCGGTCTCAAGGGCTCAAGGGACAGGAAGCCAGATTTTGGTTGAATGTGGAGTAGTCACGGCTTCAAGCCCTTCAAGGGCTTCCCACTGCGGGACCCATCATCCCCAGCCAGCCTGACGGGGCCCTGGGTTGTAGTCTGAAGCATCTAGAAGGAGCCAAGAGCCGCCTGGCACATGTGTTCAATTCTCAGTTCAGGCAACAGGTCCGAGAGCGGTGCGTCTGTCTGGAGAGGTTGTCAGGAGGTGGCTCGTTTAGACCCATTTCGGCCCCTAAATGCCGTGGGGTGATGTTACCGGAGACGACAGGCTGCTTTGACGCATGATTTAGGGGATGGAAGATACGGGTGGATGGAAATGCAGAAAACATAAAAGTGGGTGATGGTCCTAATGCCATTTTCCTTTTCAAGAGATCTCCAGAACTCATATAAAAGTAGGAACTTGAAAGGAATCCATTTAGTCCTTTTTTTCCTCTGTCATCTGACAAGCTGGATCTCCAACACTCAGATAATATAGTGGGGCCCTCATATCCATGAGATCTGTATCTGCAGACTCATTTATCAGCTGCCTGAAGGTATTAAATTAAAAAAACAAACACATATTTAGATGTAGTTTCCAGGGCGTCTTTACCAGAACTGGCCACTAGAGAAAGCCAGAAAGTGAGGCAGTCCATATAAAATCCGCTATTTCTGCAGTTTTCTGCATCCGCGGGGCAGAGCTCGGATTCCCCACCTGAAGGATAGGGAATCAGCATCCTCCTTAGTTTTCCACACTCTTGTCTTCTCTTCTTTTGTCAGGCTTTGTCCAGTTCCTCCAGTACTACTACCAAAGCGGCTGCCTGTACCGGCTCAGGGCCCTTGGGGAGCGGCACAACATGGACCTCACGGTGGGTAAGTGGCCGTTTTTGGCTTTCTCGGCCTCTTCTACAGAATCAGGGCAGCTGAGTTTCCCCAGGTGAGAGGGAAAAGAGCAACCCCCCCCCAAATCATTGTGAGGATTGAAAGGCTGTCATCCAGAGGAGGGGCAGGATCTGTTCTTGATCCTTCCAGAGTGCAGGACACGGAACCATAGGCTCAAATTGCAGGAAACCAGATTTAGAAAAACTTCATAACTCTTAGAGCAGTATGACAAGGAACGCCATGACCTTGGGAAGTGGTGAGCGCTCCAACGCCGGAGGCCTTCAAGAAAAAATTGGTCAGCCACTTGGTTAGATTCGGATTCCTGCCTTGAGACTCGATAGCCTTTGAGGCTCCTTCCAACGTCATGATTCTGGGATGTGTTGCCGCTAAAAATCTAAGCGCCAAGATGGAGCAAAGCTCCCTGGTGATCTGGGTTTCAGAAGGTGCTCCTAGCTATCGTGACAGCTGTTTATCAGAGGCGGTTCACTGGGGAGCACAAGCAGGAGGGGGTCGGTGAACCCCACGGTCCTGCTTCCCCTTATAGACCGTGATTGTCCGCTGTGAATTTCCGATACTGGCGTGAACAAGCCCCTGGACCGAACCAACACGCCGGCTCTTCTTCTGTGTATCCCTTCAAACTGCTGTTCTCTTTTATCGAACTTTGAAAGCCGCTTTTGCTCTGAAGACTTTGAAACAGAGCCAAGAGAGAACTTTTTTGGGGGGGGGGTGCCTCGCTGGCTGATCTCCCGATCAGTTGTGGTAGATCTGTAGGTGGTTCTGATTCCTGCGGCTTGCATAAGCACAGGGGAAAAAATGAAAGTGGTGAAAGGGGGAGAGAGAGAGAGAGAGAGAGATACCCTCTCGAGCTCAGCCTTCGTAATCTGCAGATCCGAGACTCGGCTTTAGCTCAAAGGGGTGTTTGGGGGTCAGCCGGGAGGGGGAATGGGGCATGAGCCTCTGAAGCCGACCGGTCTAGGGGCCTGGCACGGGCCGGAGCAACACAGAGGTGCAAAAATACCAGACAACACACAGACTTCAGGGACCAGGGGTTCAAGGTCTTCTCCATCAGGAAGCACGGTTCACGCTGGGTGCAGAAAAGGGGCCCTGCGCAGGATGGCATCCGTTGTTTCTGTGCGGGACCTAAGGAATGAGGGGCTGGGTTTTGCGGGAAGAAGCTGCGAAATGAGAGTGGGAAAGGAAAAGGCAGAAAACCCCACTGTGAGACAGTGAAGCCTTTCGGGCAGTGGACCTCTGGTGTCGTCCCCCCCCCACACCGCGGCTCTGTGTGATGGTGAGATCCTTGATCCTGCGTCTCCTCCCAACAGAGGGCTTCCAGTCCTGGATGTGGCGCGGCCTCACTTTCCTGCTTCCATTCCTGTTCTTTGGCCAGGTAAGAGACCCGCAGCCTCGGCGGAAAAGAGGGCCTCAAGGGCAGGGGAGGAGGAGCGGGTTTTGCACCCAGGACCCTTTCACAGGTTCCCATGAAAGGGGGTTGTGGGGTGAGGCATGCCCTGCCGGGCTGGGGGACACCCTGGCTGGCCTTTGAGGTGTTGAGGGCAGCAGGTCCCCTGTGTCTGGCCAGGCTCACCCTGGTTTGGGGCCGATGGGAACGGAGTCCAAATCTTGGGATGCCCCCAGTTTTCCCCTGGAAGCTAATTAGCAAGTGTAGGAGGAACGGGATCAAAACGCTGCAGGATCGCTTTGATCCCTGCTTTCGTTCTCTCCTCAACTTCCGTGTATAAGACGAGCCTCAATTTTTATTCTAAAGATTTTAAACAAAAGTATAGTCTTATACGTGGAAAAATACAGTAACTACTGAGAGTATAGTCTTATACACGGAAAAATACAGTAACTACTGAGACTACCTTAGGCTCGCCACCCTTCCCCAGCAATTTACTGACCTCAGAAGGATGGAGCCATCTCCCTGGGATTGAACACCGGGCCGTGAGGAGAGTCTCGGCTGCAGTACTGCAGCTGAAACCACGAGGCTCCAGAAGCCAGAGCACTCCACTCTGCTGATCTCCTGCAGGCTCCAGACCTTCCTGGCTCAGCCCAAAGGGGTCGGTTTGGGTGCTGGGCTCTTTTTCTTCTCGACCCTTGCCTCAGTGCCCCCCCCAAGTTTCTCTGGCCTGAGCCCCGAAACATCGTTGATGTTGTAAAAAACAACAACAATAAAGCCTCTCTCTCTCTCTCTCTCCTCTTGCTGTTGGGCAGTTTTGGCAGCTTTACAATGCCATCACCCTCTTCCAGCTGGCCCAGCATCCGGAATGCAAGGAATGGCAGGTAAGGGAAAGGCTGGGTGGGTGAGTTGAGGAGGCCAGCCGTGAGAGAACAAGGGGAGCCTCTCCACTTTTAAGACAGGGAGGAGATCTCTTGCTGCGGGACTAGGAGAGACTCTTTCTTTCTCTCTCCCCCCCCTCCTGCCAGAAGCCAAGCCTGGGGCTGCAGAAAAGCAACAGGCAGTAAGAGGGGGGGTGACTCTGTGAGAGGCCACAGAGGGCTGGGAGGCTGGAGGGGAACGCTTCATCCACCCATGGTGGTCTACAAATGTTTTCACACACACACAAACACAGACACACACACACACTCTGTAGGAAACCAGTCAGAGGGGAGGCTCTCGGGCCAGCAGAGGAACAAGGCCAGGGTGGCAGAGTCACAAAGACCCGGCGAGACCCTGACTCTGCCCAAGGAACGGCGGATTAATTTGGAAAGAGCCTTCTTCATTTCGTGCCCACGGGATCGAAGCAGGGAGCCTCTTTGCGGGGCGGGGGTGTGTGTTTCGGGTTCCTTCCAGCTCTTGGAAGAACGGCCCGCCCAGGGCGTGAAACTAACCCAGCTCCTTTCCTGTTTGGGCCGAAAGGACTTCCTTCAGACCACGGGATAAGGTGGGTTTGAGGTGGAGGGATTTTTTTTATTTCTCCGGAACGAGGAGAGCGCCATCGGTGGTCCCCTCCTGCCTTCCAGGAGAAGGGAGCCATCGGACGAGGCCCGTGGGGCTTCCTTTCGAGCCGGACAAAGTGCAGAAGTTGACTCTGAAAAACAATGTCTTTCCAATGGAAACGTTTGAAAGCTTGGGGTTTTGAGGCTGACCCTCGGTTTGTAACAGCACGGCGAGGCAGGCAGAATCCCGCAGCGCAGGCAGCAGGCACCTGGGCTCCTGATTTTTCTGCCCCTTTTGTTCACTTCAGCCCCCTCTGGGGCCGTCGGGCTCCCTCCAGCTGCTTGGGGAGGGGTGGGTTCCTTTTTTCTCCTGGCCAAGCAAACTCTCACCCACGGGCTTCGTTCCTCTGGCAGGTGGTGATGTGCGGCCTGCCCTTCTTCGTCCTCTTCGCCGGCAACTTCTTCACCACGTTGCGGGTCGTTCACCAGAAGTTCCAAGACAAGCGCCCGAAGACCGAGTGAGCCTGGGGCCCCCCTTTTTCTTCCACACGAGTGCACACTCTTGCTCTCTTGCCTCCTCTCCCCCCCCCCAGTTCTTCTGTGATCCCTTCTCTGCTCTGTCCGGTGGCGGGGGGGAGCGCTGGTCGTCTCTTCCCCCAACCCTTCCAAGTTGTCTGGCGAACTGGTGTGTAAATACTGCCGCTGGGGGTGACCGGTGTTTCCCTGCCTGAAGCAAGGCCCTGCAGCTGAAACTGGGGACTCGTCATCGCACGGCGCCAGCTTCGAGGTCTGCAGCAGGGCGCTGGCGGAGACTCTGCAGCGGCATTCAGACCCCAACCTTCTTGTGACCTCTTTACTCCGTCAATTTCCGCTGTCCTGGAAAAAACCGGGAAGGCAGCTTCAAGCGGACGGTCCCTATTCCACTCAGATGGAAAAATGAGAAGGGAAGGAAACCGAGGTTTTCTCTGGAACCTGAAGCGTCGGTAGTGTTCGGGCTGAACCAGGTGGGAAAGCCAGGGCGTTTTCTCCTCCTTGTCTTGGGTTCTTCTCTCTCTGTTTGTATTTGTCCTGCTGTCTCCTCATTATGCAGGTGATCCTGGCTTTCTCGACGCAGAACGTGCCTCCCGTCTGTGTCTTCTCCGGTGGCCCAGGAATGATCCCGGGCCACGGGTTGAGTTATGCTCCTTTGCCCGCCAGGGAGAACCGATGGGTGCCTTTCCCCTGTCCTGGGTGGGAGAAGGGCCCCACGGCATCTACCCCCCCCCTGCCAGTTTGGTGTCGGTGCCCCACGAGCCGCAGAAAGTGGGGCATTAAGGGGGAAAAAAAGGGCTCGGCAGCAGTGCGTCCTCTTCCTTCTCTCTGTGTCCTGTATTTTTGGGGGTGTGGTGCGTCTCGAGTAAATCCGTCTCTCTGGGAAGGCGCCGGACCACCTTGTAAAGCGCGCCGCCGTCTCAGAATGTACCTTAAATGTCGTTTAAAGTGTCTATGTGTGAATGTTGGCAAATAAAGAAAAGGGAACCGCTGGCCGCCTGGTTTGCCTGCCCATCATGGGGCATGGGTGTGGGTGGATCGGGGCCCTTCAGATCCAAAGCAAGAGAACTTGCGGGGTCTCCCAAATCCTGTAAGTCAGGGATGAGGTCCACGTCATATCACTCGGAGCTGTACAGGGGATCTCGCCTTAATAAGGTTTCAAAAGGGGAAAAAAAACCCACCCCACAACCCCAACCAGTGAGGATCTCAGCAGAGCTTCTGCTAGGCGTCTGTCTGTTCCCTCCTCAGGACGTCAAGGCTGGAGATCCGAACAGCAGCCATTGGGTGTCTCAGCACCCATCTCGGGCTCACATGTCCCAGCAGCCTGTGGCTAGAGATGGGACTGATTTTGTGCCGTTCCTAAGTAGGCAGAAGCCCCATAAGGCAGCGGAGAAAGATGCTGAGTGACGGATTTATGTGTGTGTGTGTGGAGGTTAAGGAAAACAACGAAGGCCGAATCCTGATGGCGTTTGTGCAGCTTAACGTGGCCCGCTGGCAGTCCCGGTTCTATGCCTCATCAGGCAGTCCAGATTCATCCCAACCACCCCGTTAATTAACGCCAGCCAATTACCCCAGACATCCTGGCAGCTTTGGTAGGATTTCGACCCAAACCTGATGTCCTGCAGTGAATTTTCCACAAAGGCGTCCTTCATTTCGGGAACTTCCCTTTTGAGCTGTAAAAGCCTCCGCTTCTTAAGATCGGTTTGTCCCTTTTCTGCTTTCTCTCGGCTCCGGATCCCTTTTCCTGGTCACCTTTCCCACATTTCCTTACTCCGATGGAAGGCCTTGCCGGGCTTAAACACTACCCACTTTTTTGAGGGGTGCGTGATTTAATCAAGGTTATCCTGGTCTTTGGACCGATACCAGGGGTATTAGCTAGCTGTAGTATTGACCCCATACTGGCCTCTGGAAATCTCATCCCTTTTTCAAAATCTCCCCCTTCTGCTTCTTAAGGGGAGCAAACCCCACCATCTGTGTTCTGGATGGAAAAAATAACTTCTGCATTAAATCTCCTGCTATTCAGCTTTATTGGATAACCACGGGTGCTGGTAGCCTGAAAAGGGGGTGGGGGGGGGGGTTAGGCTTCTTCCAACCTGCTTCCTTTGAGTATTTTAGACAGCTCCTACAGATTATTTCCCAGTTACTTAACTTTTCCTCCATGTTGAAGTAAACCCAGCGGTTTCAAGCACAGTCCAAGGGTTGGCTTCAGCCTCTAACCTTGACTACTCTAAGATAATTATTTGGTCCTTCCCTTTTCTTCTTAGACATTGTGTCCACGACAAGTTGGAATTCCTGATGGGGCAGCAGAATAATGTACAGTCGGGCTGTGGTATCTGTGGGGGACCAGTTCCAAACCACCCCCATGGATACTGGAAAGCGTGGCTATAGAAACCCCCTATGTATATAGCATAGCCTCTGGTTCCCTCTAGTGGCCAGTTCTGGCAATACACCTTGGAAACGCTTATTTCTGAGGGTTTTATTTGATATTTTCAGACAGTGGGTAACTGAAACCGCAGGTACTATGGTCCTACAGCAAATAGCTATTCTGTTGTTTTTAAATGTTTCCTAATAATTTTCAGCATGGAATTTGCTCCCCTCCCCTATTTCTTGCTCACTAGCTTGACAAGGTCATCAAGCTACCCACCGAAACCTCTCTCTCTCTCTCTTTCTTTTTGCCAGTCACCCAGGGCAGCGCCCCTGTGGCTTGTCTGTGGCTAACCATGATTTTTATGCTATCTGTGCACAGTTTAATGCGGGCTGGCCCCTTTGTCCTGTTGACACCTGTTACCTGGCATCTTTTTTTCTCTCCTTCCCATGATGGAAAAGAGGGCATTTTCCAAGAAGGAATTGGACTTTAACCAAGAAGATTAACCACCTCCCTGCTTACCCCAAACTCCAGCTGTTTTGTCACTGTGAGAAAGCACCCTGCACTCTTTAGACGTTAAATCATTCTCTGAGCTTCAGTTACGAACCAAAATGGAAAGAGACGTCAACCCAGCGATCAACAGAAGACTGAGACTGGGGTGAACAGTCAGGAAGACAGGGAAAAGCCTTAGGACTGAAGCAGGAGAAGACGGCCAAGATCACCCAAATTAGCATATTTTCAGTTGCTAAAAAAAATAAATTAAGTCATTCAAGGTATGGGCGTGGAGAACAGCTTTATGTATACCAAAGACCGCCAGAGAGAAGTCGGCATGCAATCAAATGAAGCCTGAACTCATTGAAAACTAAATGACTCAACAGAGGCTATTGCTTTTTGGGCACATCACGGCAATACAAGACTACCTTATGGGCGTGGAGAACAGCTTTATGTATACCAAAGACCGCCAGAGAGAAGTCGGCATGCAATCAAATGAAGCCTGAACTCATTGAAAACTAAATGACTCAACAGAGGCTATTGCTTTTTGGGCACATCACGGCAATACAAGACTACCTGCAATCATGCTGGGAAAAGTGGAAGGCAGCAGGAAAAGAGGAGGACCCAATACGAGATGGGTTGACTCCCTCAAGGAAGCCATAGGGCTTGGTTTGCAAGAGCTGAGCAGGGCAGGAGAGGACATTCTGGAGATCACTCATTCATACGGTTGCCAGGCATCAAGAGGTGACCTTACAGCACCTGACAGCAAAATGACACGCACAAGTCAAAAGTGACAAAGGACAGAACACGCACCCCCCGCCCTCCACAAAAGTTAATATAATGCAGGTTTGTTTGGTCCACATCGGGGAGATTAAGCTTCCTTGGGAGGACTCTCGTTTTTCTTCTTTTGTACTGGCTGGGATGTGATTTTTGGGTTGTAACCAAAGTGGAATAAAACGTATGAGCTCATGTGGGGAGCAGCACGGTGGCTCCACTACAGAGGTGGGTGAGAAATTCATAGGATTCACAATTTAATACATTCAGGAAATACTGTCCCTTCTCAAGCCAGAACACCATGAGGTGGTAGAGAGCCCACGCTTTTCCTTATCGGTGGTGCAGTCTGCTAATTAAAAGAAGAAAAAAAACCTCAAAAAAAAATCCACACACAAGCCCTGTAGAACAGAGGAAAAGGCACGTCACACTCCATTATATCATAGAATTGTCTTAGGGTGGAAGGGACCTTGGGGGTCATCTAGTCCAACCCTCTGGGGCCCAAGGCAGGAGACCTCGTCCCATCCCGGACAGATGGCTGTCCAAACTTTTCTTGAACACCTCCAGCCATGGGGCACCCACCATGTTGGGAGGCAAGCCGTTCCACTGCTTAACGGTTCCCACCGTCAGGAAATTCCTTAGTTCCAGGTTTGATCTCCCTCTGACGAGTTTCCACCCGTTCGTTCTACCCTCGCGCGCCATGAGACACAATCGATGCCCTCTTCCCTGCAGCAGCCCTTCAGATATTGGTAGACGGCCATCATGTCTCCCCTCAGTCTTCCCTTCGTTAAGCTCAACACACCTATGACTCATTCGTCATAGGATTTATCCTCCCGTCCCCTTATCATCTTTGTGGCTCTTCTCTGCAACCCCTTCCAGGGCCTTGGTGTCTTTTCTTATATTCTGGTGACCAGAACTGGACACAGCTCTCCAAGTGCGGCCTCACCCGTCCGGTATCAAGGGGTCCTCTCGCTTCCTGTGATCTTGATGCGACCCCCCTGTTGATGCAGCCTAGGGCGGTGTGGGCTTTCTTGGCAGCTGGCGCACACGGCTGACTCCGCCTTAGGCGGTGGTCCACCGGGACCCCCAAAATTCCTCCCACAGGTTCTCCTGTCGAGCCAGGTACCCCCTATCCTGTACCTGTGCCTCCGGTTTCTCCTGCCTAAGTGCAGGACCGTCCTTTCCCCACCACTGAACTGCATCTTCTCAAATAGGGCCCAAGGTTCAAGTCTGTCTAGATCCCTCTGAATGTTGAGTCTAATCTTCCAAAGTATTAGCAATTCCCCCCAGCACGAGAGACTGTTTGTAGGGCTAGGAACCTGGAAAGTGGCTACATTCAAAGAATGCATAACAGAAGCATATAATATACAGTAAATGCATACAGGATCCGTTCCAAGCCCCTCAAAGGCGCTGAAAACCACAGATTATAGTGAACCTTATACATAGCATGGTCTCTGGCTCCCTCTACTGCCCAGTTCTGAGAACTACATCATGGAAATCTCTATGAATACTGTACATTTATTTAATATTGTCAGGCAGTGGATAAGTGAAACCCGCGGATATTGGAGTCCTACTGTATAGAGAAATATCAAGGGAATGGAACCGAATGAATTTAATATGAGCCCTGATTTGAAACTGACTTCAGCTCCTGCTGTTGCTACATTCAAGTAGCTGGGAGTGGTTTTAGTTGATGTTCCAGTGGACGTTTTATGACACAGACCGCCCCCCCAAACCCCACAGTCTTAATTGTAGACATCCCGAAAACACCAAATGCTGCGCAAGATAGACTTTGGACACAAGCCAGCAAGATTCCAGCTGAGCTCTCCACAGCCTCACCCGAGATCCCCGTTCAGTGACTCAGACACACAGAGCTAGGAAGGAGACGGAGCGAAAGAATTGGGTAGTTTTATTCGAAAAGCCAATCCTCCTTAGGAGTACATACACTCCATGGCCAATTCTGCACGACCAGGTTGGTAGACGGAGGGACAAGCGGACACAGTCGGGTGGCGGACAGTGGCTTCCGCTCGGACCGTGGCACGGCACAGCCGGAAGGGAGGCAGCCGGGCCGTGGAACAGGGGGAAGCGTGGCGGTCGGAAAACCACCTAGCTTCCTCTCGAACCGGGATGTCATCAGGGCAGGCCCTGCGTCTCATCGCACCCGCAAAGGAGCAGCAGGATCGGAGGTCATGGGGTGGCGTGGGAGCTGGCTTAGAGGAGACCCCGGGAATGAAAGGGCAAAGGAGCCACCAGCTAACAAGGGCCCTCGCTCGACCGAATCCATTGCCGCTGCCTTTGGGTGCCACATCGCACCGGAAGGATCCAAGGTTTAATTTCATTTCGTGTGGGGAAAAAAAGCTTCTGCGACCCTCCCAGGCCCTCAACTCCAGCGGAAACCACCCGTCTGCATCATCATCTGGGAGAAACAAGTCTAAAAATTCTTTTTTTTTCTGCCCAAAAGCCTTCCATCCCCTCCCATTTCCTCAACCAGGCGGCCCCCATCGCCTGGGGCTTTAAGAGAGACGCGAGGCCACTCTGCCAGGCCGTTCAGAATCGCAGCATCCTCAACAAAAAAGGGGGTTTAAACCGTTCTTGAAGAAGTCAAGGGGATAGAAAGTGAGGGGATTGTGGTTTTTGGAGTTGGGAGGAAGGGGGTCCCACTGGCTCCCGTTTGCGCCGGTCCAAGGGGAGCAGATGTTCTTGCCAGGCAGGGAAGGGACAGCGTTGACTTTTCCAGCCAGAACCTGACAGATGGAATTGGAGGGGGGGAGGAAGTAACCCTCACCCCCCCAATTTAACAGAAGTTTCCTCCACCACCACAATTCCTGGCAGAGCGAGAAAGAGGGGGAAATTAAAAAAAAAAAATTGAGAAAGATCATGGTGTTCCCTGGTGCTCCAAAGGAGCCTGTCTCGGCTTGGCCAAGCCTTTCTGTGAAATACCGAAGCCCATGTGGCACAGTCTAAGAGGGAGTGCGTAGGAGGCAGAGGGACAGCCGGGGGGGGTGTCCTCTCCCCAACCTGCTCCCAGCCACCTCAGAAGCACCCTCCTCTTTCTACTCAGCGAGCTTCCCTCTACCACCACCACCCCTTAACTCCAGACATCCAGGGAGTAACGGCCCTTGGTCATCAGCTTCTTCACATATTCCACCGCCTGCTGCTGGCTCATGTTCCCGAACTCGGCCACAATCTCATAGAAGGCGTTCTGGACATCCCGGGCCATGTTGCGTGCATCGCTGACACCTCCAGCCATGGGGCACCCACCATGTTGGGAGGCAAGCCGTTCCACTGCTTAACGGTTCCCACCGTCAGGAAATTCCTTAGTTCCAGGTTTGATCTCCCTCTGACGAGTTTCCACCCGTTCGTTCTACCCTCGCGCGCCATGAGACACAATCGATGCCCTCTTCCCTGCAGCAGCCCTTCAGATATTGGTAGACGGCCAGAGAGAGAGAGAGAATAAATTCAGGCGGTGTCCCGAAATCGCTGGGTTGGAGGAAGCAGAGGACGGGAGGTGGGGAGCAACCTTCCACGGCTGTGGAGCCCACGTGGGAATTGTGGAAGGCCATGCGTCCTATTTCAGAGGTGCTTTGGGGCTCAGCTCTGGCCGGGGTTGATAACACACTCCTAACGGGGATCAACGAGGGATGTGCTATAGGCAGAACCCGGAGAGCTCCACGTCCACAGACTCGCACCTTCGAATGCCTAAGTTTTGTTCGCCTGGAGAAAGGCCTAGTCCTTCAAGGCTGCCTTCTTGGCCTTCTTCTCCTGCTCCGGTGGCTTCCTGTGAGGAGGCGGCCATGAGTCTCATTGCCCTTTAGGCTCTCTTGAGGGCACCCTCTTAAGAACTACACACACACCCCGGAAGCACTGTGGCATGAAAGGAAGGCCGAGAAACCTCGGAGGGCGAGGCCCTCCTCCAGGCGAGCAAAAGGTCTAGTGACAGCCATAAGCAAGAGGTGAGGCTTCCACCCCGCCTTGGGCCACCTATGGCCACCCGGGGGGCCTCTTGCAACCTCCCATGTGCACACTCACTCCTAAAATCAACCCACCACTGAGGGCCACACTTTAGTGGCCAAAAATAAAAGGCAGAGTCCCTCAGGGAGTAACCTCTGTCAGCAGCTCTCCAGCCTTAGGAAAGCGATTCATCCGTTTAGGATAGCCGACGGGTAGATCTAAGAAGGTGGGGACGTGCCCCGTGTGAGTGTCCTAGGGAACGGGGAGGGGGGCTGAGGCCTGTTTAGAAGCCTCAAAGGGCCAGATTTGGGGGCGGGGGGTGATCTCCAGGAGGGCGAGATTTATCTCCAGGGTCAGAAGGCCCCCGCCGTAAAGAGTCCTTGCTTCTCTCTTGTTCTCAGTTCTGAGCTAAACCCTGCCGGCCAACAGGGACGCCAAAGAGGCAGGGGGAGGAAAAGAGATTGGGCAGCCCCCACCCCCGAGACTCACCCACAGACATAGATGTGCCCGTTTTCTTCATGGATCAGCTTCCAAACGTTGGCCTTGTTTTTCTTCAGCAGGTGCTGGACGTAAATCTAGAGAGGCCAAAAGCAAGGTTTTAAGGCAGGGTTTTGGGGCTGCTTAAAGATAAGTCTTTGCCTACCCTCAGAAGCACTGATTTCCCACTGCTTTAAAAGTTCAGAGAGAAGCACTAGTCCTCATGATGGCAAAGGCTGTTTCTACACCATCCACTGTACTGTGGTCAACAGTACAAGAATTTCCCAAACTGTTATCTTTTTCCTTGGCAAAATTTTTTTCACTATCCCCACTCAAAAGTACCTATTTCTGGCTTGCCCAATGTTTCGATTACACCTGCCATACTCCTTTACTGATGAGCTGGTTCTGGCAGACGGCACCAGGAGGGTCAAAGGCAGGAATTGAACAGTGAGTAGCCCCCAGCCCCATTCCTCAGCTGTATTGAACTAAAATGGCTTTTCGGGGGGCAACCTATACACAAAGCTAGCTCCTCTCCTATTACGCTGTGATCCCCACCCCGCCCACCCCCACTGCTCCCAGGTCTGCATCAATCCTTCCAGCCTCCCGCCAATGCTGCTTCACCTTCTCCGGCTGGTCCCTCGAGAAGGCCACGTTGAGCTGAGTCAGGGCGCCTTCCTTGAGAAATTGCGCTAATTCGTCCTTGTAGAGGTAGTCCTCGTTTGCGTGCCGGCAACCGTAGTACAGCACCGTGTCTCCCACCTCCTTGCCTGGAAATGCAAAAGGCAGCAAAAGGGTGAGTCCCGGGGGAACCTGCCTAAGTAAGGGGGGAGTCTCCCCAGCGCTGCTCTTTCCGAGTGGCTGCTCTGAACACCAACTCAAGCAGAGACACGGAGGGAGGGGTGCTTCGCTTATTCTTGTCCAGAGTCAAACTAAATGACCTTGAGGGGTACAAGAAAGGACAGCCCGTCCGTCAACTTGTGAGCCCAGAAAGACACAATTCTTTTGGCGAGCAAGCGCGTGGGGAATTTCCATGAAAGATGGCAGGGGAGCAAGGAGCAGCCCGCCACTTAACGTTGAGAAGGAATAGAAAGCGTGGCATCAGAGCCAACAGGCCAAACTGTGGGAGAAAGACACAATTCTTTTGGCGAGCAAGCGCCTGGGGAATTCCCATGAAAGATGGCGGGGGAGCAAGGAACAGCCCGCCACTTAACGTTGGAGAAGGAACAGAAAGTGTGGCATCAGAGCCAACAGGCCAAACTGCGGGAGGCTGGCGAATCTTCATTTTAAAGGGGTGGGGTGAATCCGTTCTGAGTTTTGGTATGAACTTCCTGGGAGCCATCCAAGGTGACACGGACATTCTTTATTAAAACTAAAACAAGGAAGTAGATTCACTTAACTGTGCTTGCTGGGGGGGCAATGTGTAGCCTGTATAATTAAATTGTAAACCGCCCGGAGAGTGCTTGTAGTGCTATATAAGTTTAAAAAAAAGAATCTTCATTTTAAAGGGGTGGGGTGAATCCGCTCTGAGTTTTGGTATAAATTTCCCGGGAGCCATCAAAAGCGACACGGACATTCTTTATTAAAACTAAAAGAAGGAAGTGGATTCACTTAACTGTTTTTAAGGAAGGGAGGAAAAGATTTCCCCCCCCCCAAAAAAAGCCAAAAGCAGGATGGGGGGGCGGGAAGGATCAGATTTGCACTCCCAAAACGGCAACAAAGGGTCTGTTCACGTTTTGTTGTGTTTCGAAGGGGGTGTCGGGGACTCGGTCGGATTTAGCAGTGGATGCCGCTCGGCTGGGTGGGGGTCACTCACCCTGCTGCTTCAGCCAGCCCCGCTCCTGGATGAAGCCCACGAAGGGCGCGATCCCCGTGCCAGGCCCGACCATGAGGACGGGCGTGCTGGATTTGAATGGCAGCCGGAACTGAGACTTCCGGACGTACATGGGGACCATGGACTTGTGGCCGTTCTCGTGGGGCTCCTTGTTCTTCAGCCAGGTGGTGGCCACCCCTTTGTTGACCCGGCCTGTTTTGGTTGTGTACTCCACCACAACGGCACAGATGTGGACGGCGTTGGGATGGACCTGGAAAAAAAGAGACAGGGGGGGGTGTCCATGCGTTGAGCGAGAAAGCCATCAGCAGGTTTTAGCAGGTGGGAGAGGCAGCCGATCACAAAATGAAGAGGAAATGAATCATATTACCATATCAAAACAAACTACTGAATTTACAAAGTAGCAATTAACATCTGTTTAAAAAGGAATGGCAAGAAGATGCAAAATCAGAGTAGCAACACCCCCCGTAAAGCCCCACCAGTCCCATCTTGTGGCAGGGAGTTCCACAGTTTAACTCCACACTGTTCAAAGAAGTCGTTTAAATCTTTCTTCCCTGGGTTGCTCACCACTCAGTTAAGACTCCACGGGATTTGAGGATTGTAAGAGAGGAAAACTGATCTCAACTTTCTCCATACCAGATATAACATGATATGACATGTCCCTTAACAAAATAATAACAATTATTGCCGTCAAGTCCATTCTGATTTATGGAGATCCTTTTCAGGTGGATACTACTCAGAAGTGGTTTCCCATCCTCTTTTTCCGGGTTGCTTTGGGACTGTGCGGCCTGCCCAAGGCTACAAAGGCTGGCTCTTTTCCCTAGAGGAACAGAGGGGATTCGAACTCCCAACCCTTTTGCTCCTCAGCCAGACACCTTAACACTACATATAGTCAGTGAAATTAGTGAAAGTCACTGAGCTATCCAGCCAGCTCCTCTTCCTTTAGCTGCTTTTCTTCTTCTTGCTGGCAGAGATGAGGCAGCAGTCAACAAAAAGGGCTTAAGGCTACATACAGTCAGTGAAATTAGTGAAAAGAGAAGTGGAAGTTTAATTTGATGAGACAAAATGGGGCTTTAAAATAATCCAGACTGGATCAAATGCAGTAGGACCCCTTTCTCCACGTTATCAGTAATATATCACAACTGTCTTTATTCCATCAGGCATTACTAGAGCTAATGGGCTGCCTTCAAGTACATGGGATTAACCTTTCTCCACGTTATCAGTAATATATCACAACTGTCTTTATTCCATCAGGCATTACTAGAGGTAATGGGCTGCCTTCAAGTACATGGGATTCGTATCCACTGATTAACTTATCCACACAGTCTGAAAATATTAAACATATTAGAAAGGAAATCCTAGAAAAAAATCATTTCTAAAGATAAAGTTACGAGAAATGGCCACTAGAGTGAGCCAGAGACTGTGCTATGTAGAGTGGGCGAAATACTTCACCGTGCAGCGAAGATCCTCCATAGGGCGGCCGTTTTCCGGTGCCTGTTAAGCGAGGAATCCGTCCTAAACACAGCGGAGAGCCATTTTGCACAGCTTGCAGCCATTTTGAGACCCGCCTATCAGCTGTTTTAAAATAATCGTTTAGCGAAGAATCGGTTCCAGAAGCAGGGGAACCAATTGTTGTAAAGTGAATTTTCCCCATTTAAACATCGTTTTGCAATCGCAATAGCGATCGGAAAAACCTCATCGTAAAGCGGATTCGTCGTGGAGCGGGGTAATCATCAAGCGGGACACCACTGTATCTACGTTTTCCAGCATCCACAGGGGAGCTTGGAAACAATCTCCTTCCGTAACTCTCACATGGACCAGCCGAGGAGGCAAAGAACCCGACGCCATATGCCACATAAACGCACAACACGGGCACACAGAATTTAGCCGACTGGACCGAAGGGGAGAGCCTTGCCCGTCGCCAGCCCTCACCTTAGACGATGAAGCGATGGAGTAGTAGCGCGCCTGGAGGCGAGGGAGGAGCTCACAGAGGTGGTCGATCGGAGGCCGCAGGGAGGGCGTATCCTGGAGGATGGCGAGGATGTTCCTTCGGGCCTCCACAACCCAGCTCAGGTACAGAGCCTGCACAGAGCGAGGGGGGAAAAAATCTCCCAGTGAGTGGTTTCTTAGCCCCCCCTTGCCCGGTCTTTTCTGCACCCGGTGAAAAAGCACCTCTTTATCCTCCCTGGGTTTATGCATCTCGGTTTACAAACAGTGTGAATGCTTTCTGGTCTATCCTGGTTCTCGGGTGTTGGTTCTATTTGGGGGCTGTTTTTCTAAGCTGATTGCTATCTTCTAACTTCAAGGTTCCCTTTATGAACCTCCTCGGGTGTTAAGAACACCAGGAGAGGCTTTTTCTCTCGGTCCCTCCACCTTCACAGAAACACTTAGCAGGGACTTGAGAACCTTCTCAGTCACAACTCCTGCACTTTGGAACTCCCTCCCACTGGAGGCCAAGCTGGCCCCATCTTTGCCGTCCTTTTGCAATCAGGCAAAGACCCTTCTCTTCAGGCAAGCTTTCTCTTAGGGACTGGCTGCCTGAGTTGAGTTTTTAAATCATTTGTTGTACTTTACTGCTTTGAATGTGTTTTTGGTATTGCTTAGGTCTTCAGTGTAGTATTCGTTTGATTCTTTTTAGTATTTTAACTTTAATATTGTCTTTTTATGACATAAGCTGCCTTGGGTCCTTCTTAAGGAAAAAGGCGAAGGGGGAAGATATTTGAAATAAAATAAATAACCTGTTTTTTAAATCTCCATTTTGTAAGCCACCCCTCAAAACTCCAGTCAGCAGGGGTGAGGGGTACAGAAATAGGAAATTTGGTAGAATGGGACTTGTAGTCCGAAAGATAGGGGGCTCCCAACTGCCGCCCCCCTTTCTGGTCTCACTCTGACCCTGTAATCCCACCGCTGCCGCCATGTCTCATCCCATCTAGAGGGGCCGGGGGGGGGAAGGCTGGTTCCCACCTTCCCTTCGGCCGAGGAAGAGGCCATCTTGCGGAGGTGCTCCTGCTCGTTGGCGTCCGTGGCGTACTGAGCCAGTTCATAGAGTACGTTGGTGCGTGGCGGGTTCGTGATGTCCAAATAATAGGTCAGGGCCACACGGTACGAGGTGGGGCACGGGAAAGGGTGCTTCTTGTTGGATTCCTCTGCGGAAAGCAAGGAAAAAGGAAGAGGTGAGAAGCTTTGCTCTCAAGGGGTCCCAGCCATGGCCTTTCAGATCGAGGCCCAGCTCCATCTCCCCCCCCCCGTGCACCTGGACCAGTCCCAGAATCTTCTTGGCCCCACCCCTTCCAGTTATGATACTCTTATGGCCACTTTGGTGGCTACTCTCCAAACGCTCAAGCAGGAACCTCCCATGGCCCGGTCAGAACTCTACGCCAGATCTGATCCCACGGCCGGTCGTGAGCTGGCCCATTAAGGCCGATGGGTTGCTCTCTTGGTGCCTCAGAGCACACCCCCACCAGCCGCCGCCAAGCAGCTCTGCCTGCCTCCTTTCCAGGGGTGTGTGTGCCCCAACTGAATCCTCCCCATCCTCCTAAATGTCCCCCCTTTCTGCCTCTGGCGCCACTGGCCACTATCTAAGGAGAGTCCAGAAATGCAGGCAGCTAGATTGGCCCAGAATCAAAGCAGGAGGAGCAGGTCTTCTGTATAGGCAACGGCTCTGAATTACCTTCTCAAGCACTCAGCACTACAACAGGAGCAGCCTGCAACAGTGCATTTTTCTCTGGGGGGGAATCCATTTCTCTTCCAGCTGCTATAAGGACAGTAGATCAATTTAGAGAGAACAGAGGAACCTGGTGGAAGGGCTTCCGACAAAAGTCTTGTATGCCAGCTCCAGCCAATATATCCTGCTGTGCCACTAACCATCAGAGGTGCCACCTGTCCTCGGACACAGGGTGTCCTCACCCAGCACACAAACATGGGTGGTCAAGCTCTATCCACTCTGAAGTGGCTAGACTGCTACTATCTCCCACTGGTGATCCGAAATCACAGGAATTCCTATTCTGCATTAACTCCTCGCTGGTCTTTCCTAGCATTTCTTCCTGTGCAGAGGGCAAAGCAAAGCAAAGCGTGCTGCTTGTATACCACCCCATAGTGCTTCAAGCACTCTCTGGGCGGTTTACAAGTTAATTAATCAGGCTACACATTGCCTCCCCCCCCCCCAAGCAAGCTGGGTACTCATTTTACCGACCTCGGAAGGATGGAAGGCTGAGTCAACCTTGAGCCGGCTACCTGGCATTGAAGCCCAGGTCATGAGCACAGTTTTGGCTGCAGTACAACCACTGCGCCACGAGGCAAAAAGGCAATTCAGAGCCATTAACTGTACAAAATACCTGATCCAGCTGCCTACATTTCTGTGACTTCCCCCACACCCCATTAACTGTACAAAATACCATATTTTTCGCAACATAAGACGCGGTACCTGATCCAGCTGCCTGCATTTCTGTGACTTCCCCCACACTCAGCTTCTCAATTCTGAAATCCCACCATATAGTCTGGCTAGTTTGCACCGCTGGGTTATTTCCCCCATCCTTTTGCTTGGTTTCCTGAGACAAATGCAGTCTTCTCCCCCCTCCTTTTTATTATTATTATTATTTTTTACAGATAGGAAGGACAATCAGGTTGACCAGGTACGATATTCTCAGCAAGAGTTGCTCCAACAAGCAGTGAGGGCTTTGTATGCCGTAACTAACACCTTGAATCAGGCATGGAAGCTGAGAGGGAGCCAGAACAAAATGAGCCAGAATCAGAGAAATAAATATGATCAAATTTCCTGGTCCTGGACATGAATCTGGCTTCCACCCCTCGGACCTCCTGAAGCTCCTGCACCATCTTCAAGGGAAGCCCCACCTAAAGAACATTACAGTAGTCCATGCTCGAGAGGACCCCATGCATGGATCAAAAGCTTCAGGGCTTTCTCCAGGCTGCAGATGCTCCAAACGGATGCTTACGCCATTAAGGGAAAGAAGCGCCCCCCCACCCCAGTCTGTTTCCTTGATTCGACACACAAGAGCTCAAATGGCACACAAGAAGAAAGGAGAAAGATAAGAAGAAGATGTCCTTGGAGTTGAAGTGGCTAAAACAGGAAGAGAAAGGAGCCCTTCACCGCTGTGGATCAGCCGCAATTTGTGGACTGCTTGAGGTTGCTGTGACGACAGAGGGAAAAAAAAAACCACACAGGCCGTATTGAACGCTCAGGGCTCTTAAAGTCTGCTCAAGTCACAGCTGGAAAACCCAGCTGCTCCCTAGTGACTGACTGCCTATTTTTGGCCCCGTCTCGCCTCCCAAATTTTCAAGGGTGGCTCCTCTCTCTGCAGGAGCCTCCCACCATCCCTGCAAGGTCGGCTCGGGCGGTGAGCCCAATCGAGCGTGTTTCGGGGCTCCGTGGGGACGCTCTGAACCTCTATCTCACACTGGCCTTTTAGCGTGTCCAGAAACAGTGGGGTTTCTTACCACATTGTGCAGCATGTTTTTTTTTGGGGGGGTATTGCTGTCGTTCTGGACCTACAAAGCATTTCCTTGGCAGGCTGAACTCTCTCCTTTTCAGCCCCAGAAGCAACTACGAAGCCACTCCCGGCTTTGCTTATTTCAAATATATATATATATTTGGACCTAAAGTGGGATTTAAACGGTCAGCCACCTCGGTCCCCTAAGTGGATTTTGGAGTTGCAATGGGAAGTCTTTATGCTGGATAAGAATGGAATAGGGCTGCCCCAGGTGCCCTGTGGGGCTGGATTCTGCCCACCCTGCATTACTAAATGCATGATCTCACTTTAATCCGAGGGCACGGTGTGTAGCCAGAGTTCGGATGCAAGGCATTTATTTATATTTTTTAAATGCCATGCTCACCCGGTGGCTCAAGGCAGATCTGAACCGCAACAGCCAAAACCCCAGACAAGCTCTGTAACCACTCCACCGTGCTGCTTTTCCAAACCTCACCAACCAAAGGGGCGTGCCTGGCATCCTGGCAAAGCCACCGGAGCCTCCTGCAAATGCCAAGCGAGCCTCTCCCTCTCCCTGCCCTGTAACCTCTCGGGTTCATGGAGTGGGTCAAAGAAGGTTCCAGAATGCACAGATCACGGGGCTGGTGAGCTGTGCATGCGTGTGCAAAGGGCATGGGAAGGGAAACCGGTTCTGCCGGAAAGGTTGCGTCGACTCTTTGCCCTGGGAACTGGCAAGGAGAGACGATGCGGCTTGCGAAAGTCTTGCTGCAAGATCGAGCGTCTTCATCTCTCACTAAGGTGCCATTTTGGGGAAAGGGCTGAAATCGGAAGAGAGGGGATGAGGACTGATCCCTGGGAGGGCGTAGGGCACGTCCTGGCTGGCTGGGGGGGAGGGGGAGGGGAGCAACCTGGTTCTGACTTTCGGAAAGGACCAGCAGGAGCAGAAGGTCATTTGAGCATAGAGGGGGCCATCACAAAGCCACGCCATGCCACGGCCCCCCCTGACTGGATCTGTAGGGACCGAGCCTGTTTTACAGCTTCCACATTTGAATATGATCTCTCTCTCTCTCTGTGTAAAAGCAGATCCATATCTATCTATCTAAATATCTATCATCTATCTATCTAATCCATCTACCTACCTACCTACCTACCTACCTACCTACCTACCCCGGCAAACAGAGAATTACAGTTCTCAAAACCAAGCGCCTCCCTTCCTTGTGTTATAGCAAAAAATCAAAGCAAAACCCTTTGGGGTTTTTTGTTCCCATTGGACGTCGACATTTCTGCTTCCTCTTGGAAGGGGGCTAGAAGCAGCTGCTGGAGCCTTCAAGAGCGGGGAGGAATGGTCCCGAGGAACTCCCACCCCAAATCCCATCACCCGAGGATCGAGGAGGAGCAGCGCCGGTCCTGGTGGGGCTGCGAAGTGATGGCTAAGCCACCCTGAACTGCACAGAGGTGCCACAAATTTCCCAGGAGGAGGAGGAGGCAAGTCGGGGGTGGGGTGGGGGGCTGAGGCCAGGAAACAGACCAAGACGCAACCCATCAGTCACAACCACAAAGCACACCAGTTAGGCTGGTGGTGGGAATGGGGCCGGCCAACAAGACAGGGTTGGATCCAAACTTCACCTCTTCCTTCCTGGCTTTCCACCTCACATCACGCGGAACGGGGACCAGATTCGGATGCAGGGAGGATTTGGGATGCAGTGGACCAAACCCCAGAAAGGTGTATGTTTTTTTTTCTAATGCATGGTGGCGGCCGGGGGGGGGGGAAGGACACCTTATTTTTGCAGTGAATTCAAATGCAGGGGAAGGGGGCACCCATGAAGATCACTTTGAGGGGCCCCCTGTTTGCATCCTTTCACGGACGGCGGCGCTTCCGAGAAGCCACCCTGAACATTGGTCTCTTTGAATAAGCTGAGTGAGAATCTCGAGATGGGGAGGGAGGAGAGGAAAAAAAGAGGTGCAAAATTGAAAAGCAGGTGCACAAAGGAGAAGCCACTGGAGTGAGGGTTTTAGCCCAGGTGTAAAGAAGCCAGTCTTTGCCATAAGAAAAGCCACACATTTCAAAGCGGATGGGAGCCCAGAGTCACTCGGCAGTTTTTAAGGACGGCAAGTGGCTCACCATCCAGATTGTTCAAGGAGAAGATCGTATCCAGATCAGCGCCCAGGATTTCACCCAGCTGGTTGACCAGAGAAGTGTCGTTGGCTGGGTAGACGGCCACGTGGTCTCCTGACTCGTACCTGGAAAGAAACCAAGAGAGGACCATCCCTCACCTCTGACCGCCAAGCTTTCACCAGGCCGTGGCCCCCGGAGATGACAGAAGCGTCTTTTTCTGGACTACGAGTCCAAGGATCCACCTGTAATGCCCTGACACCATGTGCCCAGGAGTCTTACCCCAGCCACCCCCCATTATGCCATTGAAAACCTAATGCAATCCTCTTAAACACAGGTGAGGTATTTCATTTGCAAGAAATGGGGGTCTGAAAGACCCCTCATTTTCTCCTTCTGAAGGAAAAGGGAACGCCCCCCCTCTCCTCCTTCCCCTGGTGAAAAACCAACAACCACTGCCCAATTTTCCATTTCTAAACAGCAGCAAAAAGATCAGCATTCATCAGTAACAGCATTCCCAAAAACACCCGGGCCAAAATCTTCTTCCATTGTTACATAAAGGGAGTAAATGCCGGCGGTAAATTATCCCAAGTTAAGAAATTGCCGTAGACATGATAATGCCATGCAGCTCAGCGTGCAAACTGATCATCTTTACCCCGATTTCCTAACTTGGGACAAGTCGCCTCTGAAAATTGCACCACATATGTTAGGCCAGTGAAACCCGGAAAGAGGATTTCGGCCCCTCGCCACGACAAGGCAGCAATCCATGTTAGGCCAATGAAACCCGGAAAGAGGATTTCGGCCCATGTGGGGGTTTTCTGTGCTAAAACCTTGCATTTTGGACCAAGAAAACTATTTTGCACAAAACACAATGCTTTTTGGGGGATTTTTACAGAATACTCAAGGGTTGCTTGAGTAAAAAAATCATGTTTCCCTTTTTTTTTTTTGCAAAAATGAATGAATGAATAAATGAAATTAGAATATGTGGGGAAAATGAGATGAAATTAAAACAATACTAGACATGCAGAAAGTCTCTTCCAATGGAGAGAAAGGCAGTTGGTATTTTCCATTCTCACCTTTAAGAATGAAATAAGCAAAGATTTACTGACAAGCCTCCACTATGCCTCAGTTTGTTTGTTTGTTTATTTGATATACCCTGCCCATCTGGTATATTCTACCACAGACCAGAGGCCAGATCGCCCTGCTCTGAAACTGACATCATTAAGGTTACGACACAGCAAATACCTGGCATTCAAAATAGCTCATTCCGATCCAAAATACAGCATGACCCCTGTATCCACAGGATCGGTATTCATGTTTCACTTATCTGTGGTCTGAAAATATTTAAAATATTAAAAGAAAAATCCTAGAAATATGTATTTCCATGAGGCTGTTACCAGAAACAGCAACGAGAGAGAGGCATAGATCATGCTATGTATAGTGTTTGCTATTATCAACAGGTTTCGGCATCCACGGGGACTTGGAACCAATCCTTGGTGAATACCGGGGCCGGACTGGACTGGAGTGGACCCATACTTTGGTTTTATGAGCCTTGTGCTGCCTGCTGCTCTACGGATGAGTAGGCACCACCTCCACAGCCAGAGGCACCAGGTGGGAAGAGTTTGCTTTCTGCATTCAAAGGACAGAAGCCTGCAAGAAGCTGAAGTCAAAATGGACCGTACTGGCGGTGCCCAGACGTACCTGATTTTGGAGCTGGCGATGTCCAGTTCAAGGTGCATCAGGTGCCGCTCTCCGCCCTGGTTGAGCTTCCGGTTCTTGGTAACTTGGGCCAAGAAGGGGTTCTTGGCATCAAACGGTCTGGAAGGAACCAGCAAGGCACATGGGTTATCGCCCAAGGCAGCCAGAACCGTCCCTTGCATTGCCAGCTGGGCTCCGAGGAACTGCGTCGTTCCCATGATTTCTGCCCTGCTTGATAGGCAACAAAACTGGCAGGGTACTCATTAAGGGGTGGGATGGCAAGAAGCTCGTAACGCTGCCCACCTCGTGAGAAGCCCCGCATCCACAGATACTCGTGCATGGTCTGTAGTGGGGAAATTCAGACCAGAGGCAGCCAAGTTCTCATCTAGGTTTGCCTTGGGAGTTTAACTGAGTTCGTAAGAGAAATGTAGAATTTGAAACTGTTCAGCCGAAGGCTGCTGTTTGTAGCTCGGGTGGAGCCACCTCCACCTTCGCCCACGCTACCCAAGGGAGCTGAGTCTTTCTCCCTGCCAATAGTTCTTGGGTCCTTAGATGTCCTTGTAACTACAACCCCCAGGATTCCCAAATAGCCAAGCCTGGGGGTCAGGGATTCTGGGAGTTGCAGTCCAAGAGCACTCAGAGGTCCAGGTTTGGGAAACACATGACGGCCCTTTCCCCTTCCAAACTTACGGTTTCTGATTCTCGTAGCTCTTGAGCCGGCCCATTTCTCCCGTGTAGACCTTGTTTGCATTGAGGTCCGTGTGGACAACCAGCTCGTACTGGCGTATGCTGCGGAAGGGGAGGAGAAAGAAAGTTCAGAGTGAGGGCGACAAAATTGGCTTTTGACTCTAACGAGTGGGAACAGCCAGTATGGACTTAAGGGTTAAGACAGGGTTCTGGACTCCGACAATTCACATGCTACCCACCCAAGAGTCTTGCTGGGCGCAGGAAAAGGTAGAGAGGCCAACGAAGAGGCAGCCTCCTTGGGCTAGTGTTTTGCCATTGGGGAAGAGGCTCATCCATGGCCATAAAACATGTCCACATCTGCTAAGACAGGGTAGCAAAGCTCTTTTCCAGACCTTGGAAAAAGTTACTTTTTGCACCTAAGACAATCCAACCCAAAGCAGAGGTGGGCTATGCCTTTACTGGACCACCAAATTTTTGCCTGCAGGCAAACCTTCAAGTTCAAGTATTTCAAGTTCCAAAGTGGAAACAGCCAGAATTTTGTGGGTGCCACAATCCCCCAGCCACCACAGCCACTCCTGGCTGGAGGCTTCTGGGAGCTGTAGTCCACGCCTTGTCCAAGCTCTGCATCCTCCTGTCTTGTCGTTTGAGTGGATCGCTTGCAAAGGACTTGAAAGTCACGCAGAGGGCCGAGTAGGTTTTTTCTGAGGGCCGCATGTGGCCAATCCAAACCATCTCTCTCTCTCGCTCTCTCTTTCAGGAAGGCAGAGCATCCCAGCCCCACATCCCAACCTGTGACTCCCTGTTCTAACCTTGATTCGTCCCCTGTGGCTTCCACTCCGAAGTGTTCGCACACCGCCGGCCAGAACTGCTCACGCCATGTGATGAAGTCTTCTTCCAGGCTGTTGGAAGCAAAGAGAGTTGAAAGAGAGAGAGAGAGAGAGAGAGAGAGAAGGAAAGAACAGTAGTAGAAAAGAAGAATGCCATTATGATCCAATGTCTCGAGGACATGACAGGATCTACCCACCCACAAAACTCCTTTCTGGTTTTATATGCTGCTCAATCCACAGGGTAACAACTCACCAATTACTATGACTCTCAGGGGTGTGCCATTCAAAGTTTTTGGATCCCCAGTTCCCAAGATCCTCCATTTTGGGAGTGACAGATTCACACTTAGACACACCTCATTATCACTCACCTGGAGAAAGGCCTAGCCAAAAAGGCTTCATGAGCTGAGCTAGGCCTTAGAAGTCTCCCAGCTAGCACCAGGGTGGCTTCCTTTTTCCTGCAGGACACGAGGCTGGAGCCCAAACTCTCTGAATGGCACATTCCTGCTCAACATTATCTAAGAACCTCTGGAGGCTCAAGGTTGGGGACCTCTGATCTAGACGACACCCTGACAGCCGTCCTCTGCCAGGGCTTCTATCCTTCAATAAATGAGTGGCATCTTTTTCTGAAAATGTCACACAGATTTTTGTCTTTATTTTATTTTCAAGATGGTGGCCTCGGTCCCTTTTCTTCACCCTGTCTCACCCCTCTTCAGCGTGGGACCAGGAGTGAAATCCATGGGTGATCCAGGACAAGGGCTGGCCCTTTGGCTCGTGTGGAAGAGAGCCTCCACACTTTTGAAAGAGAGCCTCCACACACAGAGGATTTCTCTCTCACTCGCCCTCTCTGAGAGAGCCACAAACTATGGAAAATCCAAGTTCTCACTTGTGGGCAGACCCTCCGTGTGCAGAAGAGGCCCTAAGGCAGTGATGGCGAACCTATGGCATGCGTGCCACAGCTGGCACACAAAGCCCTTTCTTCTGGCACGCCGACAAACCTTTTGAAGTAGCTGCAACTGGGATTCCCCCTTTCTCTTCCTGTTCTGGGTCCTTTAAGTTCCTGTCCGTCCCCTTGATTCCCCCTTTAACTTCCTGTCCGTCCCCTTGATTCCCCCTGAAACTCCCACTTCCTGTTCTGGTTCTGGTCTTCCGAGCGGCACGGCAGCCACTGGTTTCTTCCCCACCCCCTCAATTTGGGCACTCGAGCCAAAAAAGGTTTGCCTCCACTGCCCCAAGGTCTCCCAGCGAGCAAAGCATCAAGGGATCCGTAGATCATAATAAAAGGTTTGTCTCTTTCTCCAAAGCAGATAAACTCTGGAAGGCAGGAGCCACCCGAAAGTCGGACTAAAACACCCATTCTCCCCAGCCACTAGACATTCTCACTGGAGTCACAGCTCAACAACATCTGGAAGCATACAGATCCGTGGCCTTGCCCCGGTCCACCCCACATCCCACGGAATGAGCCGCCTGGACACGTACTTCCCGTCGTCATCCCCAAGGCCAAGTTCGAAGATCCGCTGGGCGCCCAGCTCCTCCAGCCGCTTGTCTACGTACTTCCCCATCGCGTTGAAGTGCTCGTAAGTTTTGTTCCCGAGGCCAAAGACCTGGAAGGGGGTGGGGGCAGGGAGGAAGGATGGGTTGATTTAGACACTCCACAAGCGGAGCCCCTCAAAAAGGCCTCCTTGAGACTGAAGACCGGTTAGCCCTTCAAGACATGGCTGGCTCTATCATTTAAAGTAACTCTTCCTAAGCTATGGTTTGTATATCAGACTACCATTCTATCTATTTTGTGGTCATATATGTAGTGCATCAGGGATACAGATGACCAGCAAAGGACCATTATTGAGTTCCTCCTCTTTGCCACTGAGAATGGGGTAGCAACTGGAAGGCACCCCCAAAAAAGCCTTTTCTATCACGCCCTTCCACACCCCAGCTTTGACCAAGCATCTCACAAGTTCGCCCCACCAACGCCCCACATCCCCGCTATGAGCACAGCCAAAGAGCAGATGGGAAAGAAAGAAAGAAAGAAAGAAAGAAAGAAAGAAAGAAAGAAAGAAAGAAAGAAAGAAAGAGAAAGAAAGAAAGAAAGAAAGAAAGAAAGAAAGAAAGAAAGAAAGAAACAAAGAAAGAAAGAAAGAAAGAAAGAAGAAAGAAAGAAAGAAAGAAAGAAAGAAAGAAAGAAAGAAAGAAAGAAAGAAAGAAAGAAAGAAAGAAAGAAAGAAAGAAAGAAAGAAAGAAAGAAAGAAACTCACTGCGAATTTAATGCCAGAGAGGTCAGCATCGGTTTCCTGCAGCCAGTCGTAGAAATCCTGAGCATTGTCCGTGGGGTCCCCTTCTCCATATGTGGCCATGCAAAACACCGCCAGGGACTTGTCGATCTCCGAAAGGCGACTCAGGTCAGACTGGAAGCGAGAAGAGGGCAGCACAGAAGGATTACTCACTCGGGGGACCACATTTTTAGCCAAACTCTTCCGGATTTTGGTTTCACCATGCGGTTCGGGGGGCCCAGTTTATCCTCTGGGCGAAGGCAACTGAGATTTGGCCCAGGAGGTGGCTAAGGAAATCAACAGGAACTAGGCTCTCGCATTTAAATTCGAGAATTTAAATTCGAATTCATAGAGGAAATCAGCTCCAATGAACTTCAGTATGAATTTTTTTTTTCAAAACAAGCATGAAACAGTGAGATCGGGAGATGTCTTTAGCTTAAGACTTTAATGTCTGCTTGCAGGCAGGCTGCATATTGGAGAGCCAAGGGTATCATTTTGATGGATCCAATTTTCTATGCCAGAAAAGCCCCTGGGGAGACTGCCGGGGGGGGGGGGGAGAGGAACCAGAATCAAACTTTTTCATTATTTCATCAGCCGTCGCTGTATTTTTACAGCCAAAGAGGGAGAAAAGCATGTATGGGATTGTCTGCCTTTTGAACCAAAAGGATCTGGTTTTATGGTGTAAGGTGGGGTTAAGTTTGGCATTCAGCCTCAGGCAGCATAATTTCTCAGGTCAGCCCTGGCGGGTGACCCCCAGAAGCAGGAAGCTAAGCCTATCTCCCTTCTTTTTTTTATCTCTTTCTTTCTTTTTTTCCTTTCTCTTCCTTTCCCCATCTTGGACTCTGCGATTAGCTTGGATTTTACCTTAGTTACTTTATGGTGTAAGGTGGGGTTAAGTTTGGCATTCAGCCTCAGGCAGCATAATTTCTCAGGTCAGCCCTGGCGGGTGACCCCCAGAAGCAGGAAGCTAAGCCTATCTCCCTTCTTTTTTTTATCTCTTTCTTTCTTTTTTTCCTTTCTCTTCCTTTCCCCATCTTGGACTCTGCGATTAGCTTGGATTTTACCTTAGTTACTTTTTATGTTATGTGTAAACCGTCCAGAGTAGACACGTTCTAGTTGGGCGGGATATACATCTAACAAATACCGTATTTTTCTATGTATAAGACTATACTTTTGTCTAAAATCTAAAAATTGAGGGTCATCTCATACTCAGAAGTAAGTTTCCATCATGAGGAGAGAACAAAAACAAGTGGAGGGGAAAGCAGGGATCAAAGTGATCCCACAGGGCTTTGATCGCTGCTTTCCCCTCCACTTGCTAAAAGCAAAAAAGGCAAAGCGTGCTGCTTATATACCGCTCCACAGCACTTCAAGCACTCCCTGGGCGGTTTACAAGTTAATTATGCAGGCTACACATTCCCCCCCCCCCGGGATTGAACCCGAGGTCGTGTGCACAGTTTTGGCTGCAGTACAGCAGTTTAACCACTGTGCCACGAGGCTCTAAGCCGCGGTTTAACCACTGCGCCACAAGGCTCTAAGCCGCAGTTAGATTTCCTAATTTTGGGTTAGAAAAGTGAGGGGCATCTTATACATGGGGGTGTCTTATACACGGAAAAATATGGTAAATAAAAATGAATAAAAAGCTAGTCAGACCCATGTTCTGATGTAGCTGGGATCTCAACAGCCAGCGTGTTATGTCCTGTGAAGGCGCACCTGACTCAGCGTCACCCTGATATGGCTTTCGAGGCAAGGGAGGCATTGATGGGGAGGTTTTAACCAGCACTGCATCCGCCTCGCTGAGCTTCTGTGGCCAAGCAGAGATTCGAACTCAGGTCTCCTCAGTCCGTCAAAAAAAAAGGCATCTATTTCAGGGCAACGGGTCTGCCCTTCCTCATTCATGGGTGCTGAAGGATACAGAGGGTGGATGTTTCAAGAACTCACCAGATCATACTCTTCGGGGTCAGCTGACATACCCCGCATCCCATAACGGTGGGCGTCCTTGGCAAGACGGTTGGCGAACTCTTCAGCGGTCCCAGTCTGAGATCCGTAGAACACGACAATATTTCTTCCCTAGGAAGAAGATAAAAGTGGAGATTTCAGGGAGTAAGAGGGTTTATTCAGCAGTCATTCCAAAACTCCCCAAGGGCTAGAAGCTTGAAACCAACTGGCATCTACATATTACCGTATTATGATTTACTAGCTGCTCTTCACAAATGCTTATGCCAAGAAAAACTTACTTTGTCCCTAAGATCTGGGGTTCTCATCCTTGGATAACTCCAGAAGTTCTTAGACTGCAACTCCCAGAAACCTTGGCCAGCACAGCTAGTGGTGAGGGCTTCTGGGAAATGCGGTCCAAGAACACACATGGGTTCAGGGTGGATGATTTTTTTTTTTTTAAATCAAAACTGATTTAAATCCTGATTTAAAAATCAGATTCTTTTCATGATTTACATAAACACATTCATTTAAAAAAAATCAACTGTGATTTAAATCATGTTTCGAATCAATCTGATTTTAAAAACCCATTGATTTTTATCAACTCTTAACCCTGTCTTTTTTTTTAAGACTGCAATTCCCAGAAGCCTTCACCACTAGCTTGGCTGGCTAGGGTTTCTGGGAGTTGCAGTCCAAGAACACCTGAATGGCCCAAGGCTGGGAACAGGGTGGGTTTAATTTAAATAAAATTGATTTAAATCAAGATCTCTATTTTAAAAATTGAATATTTTGATGATTTAAAATTTTAAAAACGGGATAGTTTGGACAATTCAAATTGATTTTTTTCTTTAAATCGTGATTCAAATGAATTTGATTTTTAAAAAATTGATTTATTTTTTTACCCACCCTGGTTGGGAAACCACTGCCCTAGCTTCCTCCTTGATTTTGCTACAGCAATCAATATGTTTGCAACTTGTTACTGACTTTTACCACATCTGTCCTCATCAAGGGCAACAGCTCATAGCCCTCCCATCGTCCTCAGCTGCCAGGGACGATGGGGATTGTATTACACCCTCGGGGGATCCACCATCTGGAAAGGGCTGCTTCAAGAGGCAAAATCGGAGAATCCACGTCTCTGCCAGCTGCTTCGCTGTCACCCCTGTTACAGACCGATCAGCGCGAACCCTCGAACCCAAACTGAACCTGTTCCAACGTCTACCACGCAAGACGGTGAAAAGAAAGGAGGCCAACTTACCGTCTTCTTCATTTTTTCAATGAAGCTGCCTTCGCTTGTCGACACCCCTCTGGAAGAGAGAAGAAGAGAGAAAGAGAAAAGATTACATTCTAAAATTCAGCCTTGGCAATATTTCCTCCAGCCCACCAGATCAGGTCTCAAAAAGAAATATGTGTCAAAGCATTAACCCACCCAACAACCCGAGAACTCAGCAACGGCCAGGGACACACTAAAAATAAACATCGTCCTCAGCTGCCAGGGACGATGGGGTTTGTATTACACCCTCGGGGGATCCACCACCTGGAAAGGGCTGAGAGAATCCACATCTGGCAAAATCGGAGAATCCACGTCTCTGCCAGCTGCTTCGCTGTCACCCCTGTTACAGACCGATCAGCGCGAACCCTCGAACCCAAACTGAACCTGTTCCAACGTCTACCACGCAAGACGGTGAAAAGAAAGGAGGCCAACTTACCGTCTTCTTCATTTTTTCAATGAAGCTGCCTTCGCTTGTCGACACCCCTCTGGAAGAGAGAAGAAGAGAGAAAGAGAAAAGATTACATTCTAAAATTCAGCCTTGGCAATATTTCCTCCAGCCCACCAGATCAGGTCTCAAAAAGAAATATGTGTCAAAGCATTAACCCACCCAACAACCCGAGAACTCAGCAACGGCAAGGGACACACTAAAAATAAATCTGGACATTTATTTTTCATAAAAGAAAATGAAGTGGGGAATGGATTAATAAACAGGAAGGGACAAAGCCCACGGCAAGAGTCCGTACAATTCTGGAAAATAACCGAGCGACATAAGAGTAAAGAGTATAGACATTTATTCCCAAAAGGATCCCTTTCGGTGGTGGAGAGCACTAAGTATGTTGATTTATTTACTGCTTTCTTTCTTATTAACAGTTTAAATGTTTGTTAGATGTTTTATTTTCTTCATTTGCCTTTACCTTTTCATTAGTTAAATAAAAAATAAATTTTACAAATGCAATATATAAACCATATAAAGGTTGCAACCCTGGGGTTTTTTTGTTAACTGGAAAATGGTTTTAATTTTTTAAAGAGTTGTTAAAAACAAAAATAGAAAAAGCCTCTTTGCACCCTGTAGAGTAAGGGTTCCTAATCTTGGGCCTCCAGATGTTTTGGACTTCAACTCCCAGAAATCCTGGCTAGCAGAGGTGATGGGTAAGGCTTCTGGAAGGTGTAGTCCAGGAACATCTGGAGGCCCATGGCTGGGAACCACTGCTAGAGAGAGAGAGAGAGAGTATGGGGGCTTCTCCTGCTGCCTAGCCTTGTTTCAAAGTCATCCTATTAGGACTGCAAGCCTGCAGAAAGGTTCAGCCTGCACTGCCTGCTTCTTGCATGCTGCAGAAAACAATACTATTTCTTTCTTTCTTGTTTATAAGCCTTCTTTCACAGTGAGCTTCAAGGCATGGCTCTCCCAAGCCATCAACTTTTGTCTTGAGAGCAACACGGCCCCAAAAAGGTGCAATGGGCCTGGGGTCCCGCCCGTTTAATTTGTCAGTCCAGTGAGAGCGAGAATCCGCTTCTTAGTGGGGCTTGTTGCGGCTAAATGGAACCCAAATGTGCAAGAGCAGTCTACCGTTGCAACGCTCTACTGAAAAAACAGGACCAACTCAAAAGACGACAACTGACTTCATGTCTTCCTTTAAAAAGAGATGATCACTGGGAGGGGTTCGCAAAAGATCAGCTAGCCCAACCCGTCGAAACAGGAAACTCACTGCTGTTTCCTTGTCATTTAAACCGACTGACCTCTATCCGAACCTCCGGCAGCAACAGAAAAGTCATTGACTCCATCATCCCCATCAGCATCTTTTACCCTTTTATATTTGACGCTTCATCCACCCCTCTGCCAAAGAACCTGGGCTGAACCCCCGAGAGAAACAAAGCGCCAAAAGGAACATTTCCGCGTTTATATACCGTCTTGTTACTAGATTTATCTTTTACGACCCGTTTTTGGGACGTTAAACACTGTGCCTTTATTCCTTGGAGTAAACCCACACAACAAACAAGGAGAATAATTCTTTCAAATAGTGGGAAATCACAGAGCGGGAATTCTAGCACACAAGTTCTACCACCCTTTTAGGTATAAATGCTAAGAGGATGGAAGGAATCAATTGGGTCTTAGAAGAAATATCTGATTTCCAAAAATTACACTTCTTGTTGTTGGTTAGTCATTTAGTCATGTCCGATTCTTCGTGACCCCATGGACCAGAGCATGCCAGGCCCTCCCGTCTTCCACGGCCTCCTGGAGCTGGGTCAAATTCATTTTTTGTCACTTCGATGACCCTGTCCAGCCATCTCGTCCTCTGTCGTCCCCTTCTCCTCTTGCCTTCACACTTTCCCAACATCAGGGTCTTTTCCAGGGAGTCTTCTCTTCTCATGAGATGGCCAAAGGATTGGAGCCTCCGCTTCAGGATCTGTCCTTCCAGTGAGCACTCAGGGTTGATTTCCTTCAGAACGGATAGGTTTGTTCTCCTTGCCGTCCAGGGGACTTTCAAGAGCCTCCTCCAGCACCACAATTCAAAAGCATCAATTCTTTGGCGGTCAGCTTTCTTTATGGTCCAGCTCTCACTTCCGTACATCATGACTGGAAAAATTTGCTACTAGTTCTGACCAAATGTTTCACAGACGCACGATCCATGAGAAGTCCGGGCAGGACACACCAACTTCTGGAGTTGTGAAAAACCTTGTGCTCCTCCTAGACAACTCTGTTGCCTCAGCACCAAATGAGAACCACTGAGTTAACAGGATGTTACCAGATGGTTGACCACCGTATTGTCTCTTGTCACCAAGAGCCTTCTGGAGGCTCTAAGTGTTGACTTGGAGACTGGAGACAGACTGTCCCCAGTAGGGTCAGCTCCAGGATGGTTGAATGGGGATGCCCGGAGCCATAAAGCCCTTTGCCGACTAACGGACGGTGAGATTTGTAGCTCAACGTAGCTGGAAACATAGCCCTTTTGTGTGAGTTGTGATGGGACCTCATCACCAGGCCTACCCAGTTTCAAATTGCAAGGACGTTACCAGTCTGTATCAGCAAAGACGGAATAGGTCTTTGGGAAGCGAAGGATAATTCGTCTAAAGCAGTGGTTCCTAAACTTGGAGAACCCTGAAGATCTTGAGCTGCAACTCCCAAAAGCCCTCACCAGCAGATGTGCTTGCCAAGATTCCTGGGAGATGTAGCCCAAGAACCTCTGGGGACGGAAGGTTGGGATCCATGGTATCAAAGAGCAGAAGCTCGCTGGGATGCTGGCTGGTCCGAAGCCATCCCACAGCAACCTCCAACATCAGGGCTCACAAGGAATGTTGGCCACCACGAACCTTAGACCTTCCCTTCCCAACGGATGATGGCCAACTTTGAAAACATCATCCTCAAGGCTGCTTCTGGCACAACTCAGCCAGATTGTTCCAATCTCTCTGCTGAATCATCTTCGGCCAAAAGGAAGAAGCTGAACAGCCGGGTGGGCTGTGGGGCAGCTGTGATGGGGGGAGGGATGATGATGAGTTTGGGGAGAGAGGGAGACTGGGGTGGCTCACAGCCCAAACATACTGTCGGTTCTGTTTTGTTTTTCCTCCATGGAAGAAAAAATGCAAGCTTCTCTCATGGGGAAACAAAACAGCCACAACACAACACTAACTTTGGACACAGACATTTTAAAGCAATGCCATCATTACTGCCGCCGCCCCATAAAAACAGTTTCCTACCCCAAGACTTGTGGAAGTCAGTGCTATCCAGAAAGCAAAGGGGATATCAGCAGAGGATATACTGATTTTCTGCTGGGGGGGGGGGGGAAGAAACAAGAGCCTAGACTGGTCAGACTCTGTAAGGAAGAAGGACAGAGCCAGGGTAGAATCTTAGAAATTAAGGAATGATTGGGTTGGAGCCCAGTGCAACCACCCACACAGCAGGAAGAAAGGGGCAGAAATGCCATTTTCTAGATTCAATATATATAAATACAGTAGGAAAGGAAGCATTAAATATGACCAAAACCCCAGTCTTCAGCGCCAGATCCGCACAGTCAGAGATGACAGTTTTCATCCGGAATACCCAGAGAGTTCTAGGCTGTCTTCCTTTGCTCTCCACTCTTAAAAAGTGGAGGATAATTAACAGGATAGAAATGCAGTTGCTAGGTTCAAAAAGAGACTTCATGAAGCCACTTCAGAGCAATGGTTCACCTCCCTCGGAACGGTCTCTGCTCATCAGCAGGAAATCTCTAAAGTCTTTCCCAGCCCACAAATCTCTTACAACAGGAAGCTGGAGAGGTGCTGAGGGTGGAAACCTCTCAATGCAAAACGATGTTTATGTGATGTTATTTAGAGTTTTTTTTTAACTCCAACTGCCCCCCCCACCCTTTCTGGGTGGATGTATTGCTTTTTCCAGTATTGTTGTCTTTTCCAGCGCTCGCTACTCAGCCATTTAACTATAGTGTTTAGAGGAAGGTTCTGGCCTGATGCATCTGGACTACAAATCCCATTAGCTCTAGCCAACAGCGAGAAATGATGCTGCAGTTCAAAAACATAGGGAACGGCAAAATTGTTCACCCTGTGTTTAGAGTTATAACCTTCACACGCTCTAGTTCCCAACCATTTTTTGGGCTTTCAATGGTTAAAACCAGGATGCGAAACCGGGACCCGAGGCTTCCTGGCAGGCAGTACACTTGGCAGAAAAATCGGACCTCATTTCCCAACTTCCTGGCTCCTGGGAAGATTTATTCTGTGCCAGCTGAAGGTTGTTCCATGTCTCCAGAGGCAGCTCCATATGAAACACACTGCGGTAGTCCAGCCAGGAGGGACCAATCCCACCGGCAGTAAAGGTGCTCCACCTTCCTTGACTTACGGCCTTCCTAATTTACTCTGACCTCCAATCTTGCCCCAAAGGGATCCTTTGAACCAGCCTTGCCAGCCCGGAGAAGTTTAGAAACATGTCCTGGGCCCCCCTCTATAAACTTAAATTTCTCCTCTAACTCACATCCTACTTTTTTTGGCAGCCGGGGTCCTGCTCGGAGACGCTCCGGAGCGAGGAGAGGCTGGGAAAAAGGAACATATCATGAAACGTTTCGGCAACATCCCAAGAAACGGCAGCATCAGCATCCGTGAATCATTTGGAACGGATTTTCCCCGAGCAGATGTTCTTCTCCCCCATCCAAAACTGTCGGACTGAAGCGGCGAGGAAGGGAGGTTTCGAAAGGAACGGAGCGACTTACCTCCTGGGAAAAACATGGTCTTCGGGCGAGGAAGGCATGCAACCCATGACGGACTGGGAACGGCAGACAGAATCCGCCCACGCCCTCGCCAGGGCTCAGCCCTCATTCCCCCCCAGCGAGGCACCGGTGGGGATTCGCCATCCCAACCCTCTCGGGTCCCGAAGCCTATTTTCACTCAAAGAAACGCTCCCTGGGAGACACCCAACGGTGGGGAGTCGAGCCGCCGGGAAGCAAGCTGGACGAGCTTTCCAAGAAACCCAGAGAGCCTGGGAGGGACCCGACGACGGCAACATCTG